TACCAAAAAGGTCAGAAGAACTTGAACCGGTTCATTCAAGTAGGGCTGAACCAGTTCAAGTTGGCTAGTAGAAAATTTAAGAAATCGACGTATAAACTTGAACCGGTTCAAGTGGGACTGAACCGGTTCAAGTTGGCCAGACTTCAACATCTTGAAAAGCCTTGAAAAGTTGAACAGGTTCAAATGTTGTTGAACCGGTTCAAGGTACACCGTACACAATGTAAAACTTTTCTCAAAGCCTAATTTTGAAATCCTCAAGTGTCCTCACACTCACATACCATACTAAGGCATTGTTCTCATCATCACGGACTATATCGAAGCACGATCACTTCTTCAATTCTACCAATTCTGCTTCCGATCTTAAGTTTTGACAAAGCAAACAAAAATCTACAACTCGATTGGACTTGTTTTGATAACGAAATTAGCCAAAATACAAATTTATATTTCATTACTATTTCTACAACGAAAAATTACATTCATAGTGAAAAACTAGACCGAGTTACTGATACAAACTGAAGATAAAAATGATGAGACGACAATATAACATTCTATGAACCCACGACAATATTTATTTAGAAAATATCATTACATATAATGATGTCATCATAATGTTATTTCTTAATATCTTTACTTATTTATTTATTGTACGATTGAAGTTTTGGTATTGAGTAGCCATGACTCTTTGTGTGATTGAAGAATTATAAACTCGCTATTACATATAGAAAAATTACTACGTGATCCTAAATTATTAGTATCTCACCAATCACTATTATTTAACTTTTTTAATGTATCAAAAGATAACTGACCTAAATCATTTAATAATTTCTCATCATACGTGAGGAGGGCTTTTTCATTCATGCTCCCTTCCCATTAAGCTAAGGTTGGAATTGCCAAAAGCTGGCTCTTACTTCCCAACTTTTGAGCAACACTTGAATCCCTGCAGCAATTATTTTATTTTATTATTATTTTTTTCCTTTTGATAGGCAAAAGTTTCCTTCCCAAGAGCAGAAAACATGTTGACCTTTAAAAGCTTCGCATCTTACGAAATAATTGATGCAATGGCAAATCAGATACTTGTACCCTCGTTAAGGGTGGAATTGACTTTGAGATTGTATTGTCCAATGAAATTATTGTGTGTGTGGATTACTCTCTTGACAAGATTGGTTACCAGACAAAACAGTCACTCCAATACCTTCTCCTTTTATCTCCTTCATTAATTGAATCTTGATTCAATGCAACTAACAAACAATGGAGATTGATATCCTTAATAGGGTAGTTCGATCTTGCCTAAAACACACAGCGCATTAATTAATTAAACTGTGATGGACTATAGCACCACAAAAAAACTGCTTAGAATTAAACCTTTTCTAAAAAATTTAATAAATTAAGGTAAGAATCTTGATTACTAAAAATTACTTAAATACAATAAATCTGAGTAATTTGAATTCCTTTAAGACTTAACAAAAATTTCAAGATATTTAAAACTAAAAATTTGGTCAAAAAATACCCTACTTCAATAGCAAAGTTAATGATTTCTACAAGTCGACCCATTTTCAATCACAATAGGGTCTTCCTAAGTCAAATTGTCCCGAAATTCTGTATCAACCCACCCATTTGGCTTTCTACCAGTTCAAACCCATTCGGCCTTGTAGGATCATATAAGTTTTGGTAATTAGTATATTGTAGTGTCCAATGAAAGTTTTATATTGTTTATGTGTGTATGTAATCTCCAGACAAGAATTGGTTACCAAACAAACAATCACTCCAATCCTTGATCTTTATTCGATCTCCTTTGTTGAGTGAATTTTGATTCTATGTCATAATACAAACAAACCAAGTATATTGATATTCTTGGTTGGGCAGTTCAATCTTGCCCTAAAACACATAGCACATTAATTAATCACACATGTGAGGCTCAAATTTATGACCTTTTTCTAACAAGTAAAAACTTAATACCGTTAGGTCAGTCACTTATTGTTACAAGACACTGAATTTGAGTCTCGTGTATTCTATAACTCCAAGGAAAGGAGATGAGAGTAAAAGGCCAGGGACATATTGGGGAATTTAAAGAACAATGGTGTTACTTGATAGAAAACAGGTGTTTTGACAAGGACAGAAGGTTGTTGAAGGTCTTTAGACATGGAATCATCGCCACAACAGCCAGTCAAATAAAATAAATATGTGTATATAGAGACCGTTGAGCATCCACCTACCCATCTCCAATCCACACCCAATAAATGAATGAAGAGTAATAATAGATACACCAAAAGCATATAAACCAAAATAATGGTTTTTTCGGTTCTGGGATATATATTGGGTGAGATCGCGATGGTTAAAAAAAAAAATATATATATATATATATATACATATTTAGACCTATTTATTTTAAAAGCGACAAGTGTAGTTGAATAATCTTTAGTTATTTATTAATTTATTTAAAAATTTAAAATTGACTCAATGTTCTTATCCACTTCATCAAATGAATAAAAACTCATTAAATCACATATGATCTAATTTTAGGTCTCCTATTCTTCCTAACTTGTCAAGTCCACCATCACTCCAAGCCATGACAAGATAATATGAGATATTAGACCAAAGTTGGATATCATGTCAACATTGATCAATAAATAAACAAAAATATTGGATCAAAGTTGGATATCATGTCAACATTGATCAATAAATAAAAAGTTTTAATGAAGCCACCTCTTGACAAGCATTATGAGCTTTTGATATTGGTCACAGAATTAAAATAAGAATTTTTTAATTTTTTTTTTAAGAAAAAAATTGTCTTTATAATTATAAATGTAGAAATATTTCGAGATTCATTGATCAATAAAAAAAACTAAAGTCTCTTGATAGTATTATTGTGAACTAAATATCATGATATCAACTATGTGCTTTTATACATTTTCTTGAAAACAACGGAGCCTAATTCTCTATAAAGGTTATCGAATTAAGCATGACAATGCATATGTGTGTGTGTGTGTATAAATGAATATGGCAACTTGGTTGAACATGAAATCCTAGCTATTCTAGCTGATGCTAATGTTTGAGGAATTAAAATGAGTTTTGATTGCAAGCTAAATTAATATGGGAGAGATCATGAAACTGAGCCACTGGCTGGGCCAAAGTGAAGACAAAGGTGGTTATGATGATGAGCTCACAGCTGGGAAAAAAAAAAAAATTAAATAAAAAGCAAAACAGTCAATCTGTATTTTAAGTAGTGAACAAGCAAGTTGGTAAACATTTAGCTAATTCATTAAAAGCCTTCTAAATCATCCTTATCTCAAGTCCATCTTTATCTCTTTTTCACTAATGAAATTAAGAAAAGAGATTTAAGTGTTTCACCCACTAAGGACAATAAAATAGGACAACTGAGTTTATATCACACACACACATATCATGATGCAATTATTCAGTTACCAGTCACCATAATAAGTTGGCCAAATTTAAAGAAGACCATGTGCCTTCAATTTTGCAGCACATGAAATGTATAAAACGATAATTCACCAGAGACCCCCTGTGGAAAGTTTGCTACTTTAATCCAAATCATGCTGACAAATTCAAATCAGGGATCATGTGGCTTAAAAGAAAGTTTGCTCCTTCAATTCAAATCATGATGACAAATTCAAATCATATCATGTGGCTTAAAAGAACGTTTGCTCCTTTAATTCAAATCATGCTGTCAAATTCAAATCAGATCATGTGGTTTAAAAGAAAGTTTGATCCATCAATTCGTATACGCCAAAGCTGGTTTGAGACTTTCCACTTAAAATGATATTATCATCAGCAAACAGAAGACGTCCAACTTAAATCGATTCTCTTTGCATCTCCAAACTCACATAGCGTCGTCGTAGAATTACATAGTATTTTGTATTGCTGCTTAGAACTTTTTCGTTACTCAACCCTCAGTAACTTTTGAAAGAAGGGAAAAATTGAACACTCAACACAGACATTTTAGTCGATGCTCCATTTCATCCCAAAAATCATTTAATCCACATGGTTTGGTAACATACAGTGCGTAGATATGATCATAAACCTTCTCAATATCCAGTTTGTTCAGTTGGTTATCATCTTCTATCGATTTTCTAGCTTTTTTTTCCCCCTTTTGCTGTAAGTGATTTCTAATTTTCTATAGATATAAACAAAAATACTAAGGCATACCCGCTACTTACAATGAGCTATCAGAATAAAGCACAAAAGATCTCTCAAAATAGCAAGAACAATAGCAAAACACAACTCCTACCATTACCATCTATTAGTTTGGGAGTACATAACTTTGAAACAAGAAAAGATCTTTCAATCTAACAAGCTCAGTTATATCCCTTTGAATAGATCTCACATTCTTAAAATAGATGGGAGTGATATCTACTACACCTCTTTCCCAACTAAATATAGTAAACAGATGCAGCCAATAGCAGATTGTTAATCTGATTATTTTGTTTGTTCAGTAATTCAATTTTTAATTAACCAAACAGCTTCAGGTCAGATTGCAATTGAACCACCAATTCAATCCAATTTCTTGTAACACTGCTCCAAAGCATTTAAAACACTAAAAACAGGGATTGTTACATGGGTAGCGTTAAAAAATAAAAATAAAAGGACCTTAGTTTTAGGTTTTGCATGGTGAGCTAAAAGGACCAACTCAAAGATATCCCCCAGGCATCAAATTTACCTACTAGAATAGTGGGTGAGTGGGATGACCATAACATCATCCAGATGAAGCAAAGATATCCATCAAAATTACCTTCCAGAATAGTGGATGAGTGAGATGACCTTAAAATCACCATTATGAAAGTGAGACCTACATCAGATTGGATTAAACTTCTTTGCCAGTGGACTTAGAGCTCAAGGTTCAAGTATGGTTAAAGATTTAAGCCCCTTGTAGTTTATTATTCATGATGTAGCAATACAAATTTATGATTTATGCTTCAGACATTCTTTCCTCTCTTTTTTATGATAATTACTCAAAGGTACAAAGACAAATTGAAGAACTCACCTTTATACCCTCTAGGGCTCAAAAATGCATCACCAAATATCATTTCATATTTTAAATCCAATGCCACGTTGCATATATTCTGTTCCATTCTTTATCAACATGGTCGGGAAAGACCACACTAACTAGTAAAACAATACATAAAGAATTAAGGACGAGTTTCATCGTTCAGTTACTTGTAAGAGCACTGCTACAACACACCTCTCTGGCAAAAGCAAAACCCGGAATGTTTACAGGAGTTTTGAACCAGACCTAGAATACGTGCCAAGTTAACTGCCAGTCGTCGATGAATCAGATAATAGGAGGGTAACCATCATCTTGGCAGATTCTGGGCCATCATTATTTACACTTGGTATAATGTTTACAGGAGAAATGAGCTTGACAAATTCTCTGAGTTCAGTAAAACTGCTATGCTCACTGTATGGTACTTCATACCTGGAGACAAGGGAAAACAATCTTGAGTATGCACACGATCACACGAATTAATATTCATTAGTTGTTAAAAGCGAGAAATGCAGACTAAGACAGATGTGATGAGCTTGTCAGAATCTTTTAATTTGCTAAAACAGTTAGGATTAATGCTTTACATGGCAGCACAAAGAGAAGCAAAGTGGATTATTAACAGTTACACACTTCACAGAACCACTATAAAAGCAGCATAATTCTACTGGAGTCAGGGAATTGTTTATTCGATAAAGGGAGTGCAAAGCATCAGTCTTAATGAGAACTATGAGATGCAAATAATTGAACAGGTGAAAAAGCAGCCAACAAAGGTTCAAATGGTACCATTACCAACATTAGTTGCTATAATGTGCCTGCATAATTTATTGATAGTTACAGAGGTATTCTTGATGAGTAAAACTATAAGATGTTGCTGTTGCTAATTGCAGTACCATATATACAACAACAATTGTAAAAAGAATCATCAGGAATGCTAGCAAAAATAATAATAATAATCAAAAGCCCTTGACTTGCCCAATTAATTTTGAAAAGAAAAGCCTGAGGCTACAGAACAGATGACATCACTTCATACAAGTACTGTTACTATATTGTGCAATTAAATCAATTAACTCAAAGAGTTGAACTATCAAAAGTGAAATGTTCCCCATCCAGGGTTGAACAATTCCTTTCACACCAGTTCCAGCTGACTGAAATTTTTTCAATTAGCTGGTAATTAAGCATGTTAAGGACCCCTATAACTGCTTACTGATAGGCAAACATTGTGGCTGCTTCCAATGATACAAATTTAGATGATACAGAAGTAATATTTAGTTGGCCAATGACAAGGAACTGGAAGACACCTAGACTATTTCCAAAACTCTTATGCAGAACAAGTAACAAAAAATGAAACATCACCTTATGATTGTTCCCTGCTGACACCTTCTTCCTGGAGATTTCTTCTTTCCTTTACCAAAAGTCCAACCAGTCGGAGAGAAAGCAACTATAAGGCTAAAACGACTCTGAACAACAAGAACAAACAAGCTTTAGCAGTTCAAATATATATATATTTTTTTTAAAGTTAACAAAACATGGGTGTATCTCGTAGTTGTCAAAAACACCTATGTAGTTTTTCTGGCCGTATAAGCAGTAAGCCCAGGTGTTTAGAGGGTCCATTCAAAGAAAATCTTATACCACTTGTCATACGTTATGTTAGTTGGATCATTTGTAAAATTATTATGATGCTGACAAAGAAGTTTCTCATTTCTCCAAAGAAAAACTAAATATAAAACTTGCTAACATTCATTTAGCAAAAAGAACAAAAGGAAAGAAAAAGAAAAAAGAAAATAATTTGGTTAACTTCCAAGTAATATAAGAAGGGAAAATATATAAGAAAATCTGTAACACGACCTGATGGAATTTCTAATTTGTGTGCTTATGCATATTTAGTGCCTATCATCACCATTCTCAAGTTACAGTTATCTCCACTTTCACTTTCTACTCCAATTTTTGCACATATGGTAATGTATATTTCTAGTACCTTTGCTCAATTATCCATAAGGGAAGCTCAAAAGAGGTAGTTACCCATAGAAATAGAGTAAATCAATCAAATGAATAACTTTTCCGGAATTGTTGTCAGACCATCAGCCCATACAAGTTAACAAAAAAATTGATTAGGTGACCAGTAAGGCTAACTGTAGTTGTACTAAACAAAGAACTGGGCCGTCAAGAAATAGCATGCTCAAGAAAACAAAACAAATAGACTTGCAAGAAGTTAGAAGCAGCAAATACTGAGGACAAGATGTGGAAGAGTCACCTAAGATGTTTGATTAAGTGAAATAGACCAAATTCATGTGCCAATAAAAATGGGTGACATGTTTCTAGTCATTGGAAATACCACAAAGACAACAGGTCGGCCCAAAAATGTGAATTAATGCAGTAAGAAAGGATATAATAGCTTATTATCTGACAGAGTTTAGCGCTGGAATCTAGATAAAACCGAATGGTAAAAGAAGGATTTGTATACCAAGATCCAAGTGATTGCATTTTTGCTTTTTTCAGTTTAATCAAGTTGAAATTATAATAAATGTATTTCAAATGACATTATTCTTACTACCTAAGAAAGCTTACTTGTACTCATAACACTCCAAAGAATCCCCCTGCCAGCCTACCTGCATGTCTACAAGCTAAATGTAATGGCCGGGTGCTTGCCATCTACCCAATAACTTAAGGTATTAGATAGCGCTGTCTACCCGTCCTTGCTCAAGACCTAACCCATCCTTGTCCGATGTGGGACAAGACTCATGTGACACTAAACATCCATCCTTGAAAATTTTCCAAGGCATTCAAGCACTCATGAAGAAAATAGTTTGGAGTTTGGACAACACTAGTCTATTGTTGATCTAGAACTCGTCTTCTCTAACATGCTAACTTTGCCTTCAATTTTCCTCTGTTAACTATTCATCTCATATCTTTTGGAGCAACATTATGAACTTCCACAAACCTTCCAATTTTGGAGTGAATAAAGAAAAAATCCAGATCTATTATTGAGACCGTCAAATAATTAATTTATAAAATGAAGTAATAATTTTGCACCCCTCACCGAATACTGATTAGATACATGTTTTAGTCGTTTGAAGCTTGCGAGTGTCCACATAGGCACAACATGAATGTGGCTCTCCTGTTCATTTAGTGTCAACCACTGCATATCTTCCTTGGGTAGCCCCAAACATTCCAAAAGACGCATTTTTGCCGCAGTGACATAGACTTTCTTACGGAGAACACGAGCAACCTCTAAGAACAGCCTTTCCTTTCCTGTTAACAAATAATAAAATAGCAATAAAGTTATGTAAGTGTAGGTGTGGTGTGTGTACTTGTTATTGTGTGAACAGGAGAGGGATGTGCAGTACAAATAATATGATCAGATATACTTTAGAGGGGAGCATTTATATGCGCACACACATTCAGAGAGAGAGAGAGAGAGAGTAGTGGATTCTACCGATCGTATAGCTACCAATCAGAAACAAAGTTTTTGGGTTGAAAGCTTCAGCTTGGATGGCTTCAATAACAAATTGGATAACAGCCTCCTGCTTTGGGAAGTCAAACTGCAAGGGAAAGCAAATAAACTTCTATTTCATCATTTCAATATGAAAGAGACAATAGAACTATTACCCAGTGTTGGACCTACACAGGGTGTTGGGAAACCAAATTCGAGATAAACCTAATCTTTAACAGTATATCACACAAAGTGACTGCTATCAAAGTTGAGCCTAGATTGTATTTGTGAGTCCAAAAATTTTATGATTATCCCAAGCAATGGCCCCTTAAAAATCTAATACCTAGTTGGTCTCCGTTATCTAAGGTGCTAGGAGGGAAAACTGATACAGACTTGACTTTTGGCATTACTTGTACAAAAAGACCGCCCCCAAACTTGAACCAACACTATCATTCTTGGAAGCCGAAGCTTTTACTACTTCATTAACCACCAAGCGTGTATATATGCATATAACCCACTAAAACATGTATTTGTATTTATATACGAATTACATGCATATGAACATTATGCTCCTGGAAGTAAAAGGAACAAATTAACAGCAGTGGAAATGTATTGTCAGGATTGCATATGCTTTATACATAAACTTTACTAGTGAATTCACAGATAATGGTATATCCAGCTATAACTATTTACAAAGTAATAACTCTGTGACAAAGTATTTAGCACACCACCTACGCTGAATGTTTAAGTTGCATGTTAAATTACACAAAAGCAGGTGACTATCTAGTACTTGGAAAATTATAAACTACTAGATTTTAATATAATTATATCACATAGAGGGTGTGTTAATAACAGTGTGGTTACCAGTCAGTACCCCATGTCTCCATCAAGAACATATGTCTGTACATGGAATTTGGACTCCCCAACTAACTATGAATTTGGTTCTTCTTTCCATGTGGCAACAACAAGCGTTGAGCCAAGCTTGTTAGAAACTAGGGCAGAGCTCAACAGACTGCTAGGCAAAGCTTAGATTCTTTAAATCCTATTATGTATTTGAAACTAACAGAACATAGCAAATTTATACGCTCGATTTTGAATTGCCCATTGGTATCAGCTTTTTTTAGTCAGGTTGGATTATAGACTTTAAACTAAAGGCTATTTGACACTGCAATACTCAGACAGCCACATAAAGTGCAGCTTGGTCAGTTTGCTTTAAGTACATAGGAAAAAATCTTCCATTCCAAGACTTACCTGGGGCTTACAGTAAGTTGTATCAAGGATGAGAGTTTGGATGGGACATGTCTGCAAAAAAGACATCTTTGCCATATCCGCACTAAACCGAAAATCCCCCGTGTGAAGAACAGCCTAGATGCATGAAGAACCATGGGATCAATTCCAGAAGCAATTAAAAGTTAAATATCCAAATATTGATACGGTGCCCTGAGGAGTCAACTTGGACCACACCTCACCATTGGGAGGTTCGAATAGCATTATAACAGAACCTGGGCAGTGGTTTGCGTCGAAGCAGGTCACATCAATTCCTGCAATACTGATCTTCTGGTTGAGTGGTAAAACTTGTAATTTGTCCCATGAGATCCCGAGCTTCATATTCACAAGCTTAGCAGTGATCAAGGAGCAATAAATCTTGCCATGACAGAAGGACCTCGTAAGGCCTTGATAATCTGCAGAAGCAAATGCAACATTGGACTTCTTTGGAATTATGAGGTAAATTGGTGTTATAGTAAAAACAAAGTACTATGAAATTTGCAACTTCAAACAAATGAATGCAGTAGAAAGATGAAAGAATTATGTTGTGAGATCCAATTTTCAGAATGCCAGTTAGAAATAGGAATGTCAGCATGCAGGATGGTAGCAGACCTCATATTTCCTGTTCTGTTCTACTCTGTTTGAGAAGACAACTTGATCAGGTGTTGTTATGCTTTAGAAAGTTTGTATGATAACATAACTTACTGAGCTGCAAAGATCCGCAAGCAAGTTATTCTAGATCCATCACAAATGTGAGAGATTGGACACTTCATTGTTCGGCTTCGCTGGGCTCATTTTCATCCCTAAGATAGCCTCATCACAGAAGACTGTCATAGAAATAATGGAGGCATGCCTATGTGGAGGGTTCTTGAGGCCAAATCTAAAACCAAGAAGGCAATACCTCCACTATTAAAAGCCTATGTACAGGCTTTCACAAGGGGCTACAATTCTCAGTAAATAGTATAAACCTTATAGTGAACTTTTTTAGCAAAACCTTGTCATACAGATGCAGGAAATCAAAACACAAGCTAGCTAACTTCTTCTCTTGATGTAGTACAGTCATAAACTTAATAAAAAAATTAATCTAGGATAGTGTAAATGAAGCATTCAGTTTTCAAAAGCCCAAAAATACAGTGCAAATAGAACTTATTCTAGAGTGATCACATATATGATACTGGTCAAGACAATTACGTCCAGTGTGTTCTTTTTAAACAGATTATGTAAATAACTAGTAAGATTACGTAGTAAAAGCCCTTACTTCTGCTTGAATATATTTCAACCAACAAAGTATAATTTAGCTTAAATAACGATGAGCACAACTGACTTACGATCTAGATGAAAGTGAGTAAGAACCCAATGAGAACAGTCTCTTCTGAGATACTTAAATGCATCCTGCACACGTAGTACAAAATGAAATTAGAAGTGAAGCTTACATGACAAGTTTTTTTCACTGAAAAAAAAAGAGAATAATAAACAGAAAAAGAAAGCAGCACAATACTCATTGATTAAAATTCAATAAATTGATAAAACATATAGAAAGAGTTACAGAAAGTGCAATTTGTTCATAAATTTGATTCATTATCTGCAATGAGAATAAAGAACAACAAACATAACAAAAATCTTTATGATGAAAATATAATTAAAGACTAAAAAAGTATATTGCTTATGGTAAAACTTCTACACTTAATCAGAGTGACAACAACACCTAACTGATCAAATGTCATGATGCCAGCAACATTCAACAGAGCCAACCACCAAGATAGACAAATGATAACCAAATGTGGTCATCTAACATCAATCTCTCTCTATTAGAAGAGATTAAGAATATAATTCATGCTAAGTGAAAGGCCATTTCCCACTCGAAATGGTGTTCCTGGTATGCAACACCATGACGGAATGTCCCTGAGTTTTCTATTTGTGACATGTTTGCTGGGAGTAGCATCATGCTAAACCCCGTGTTTAAAAAACTAGAATGCTGGAAATGAGACCATATGGTCAACCCAGCAAATTTTAACCAGGTATAACAGTTTGAAGGAAAGTGAATGCATGCACTTTATACGTAGAGAAGAGGAAAATCATACAATCAAAGTACATTTATCAAAAACCACAAAAGTGTAAGAAATAGAATACATATTACTAAGTGAAAGGCCATTTACCACTCGAAATGGTGTTCCTGGTATGCAACACCATGACGGAATGTCCCTGAGTTTTCTATTTGTGACATGTTTTTTCTCCGTAATTTGTTTACGACCAGAACCTGAGTGTCTTTTCACCACCTCAGATTGTCCTCTGGAAGAAGCACCATCTTTCCTTCTATCAGCAACAGAGCCTGGAAAAAAATCTGTAATTAACTTGTTTGCGGCGAGTTTACTGTTGTCATTAGCTACAACTTTCGAGGCATCCGAATGTGTCTCTGCAGTCTTAGTGTCTTCCTTCCTAAGTTCATTCAGAGCATGAACGATCCTTTTCCTAGGACCAAGAGCAGTAACACCTATGCTGAATAAATCCTGCAAGTGAATTATATTTTTTTTAAATATAACATAGACATTATTTGGGTAAAATTTTCATTCAAAAAACAGTGATGTGATGGTCAAGCAATCTGCAATAGCACCAACAAGTCAAAAGCAGGCATCCAGCACAGGAAAAATGAAATGGTTTGACTGCCAAGAATTTAAATTGTCTTCCTACAACCCACCAAATAAAAGGAAAAAATTATACTATAGAGCACATTACTCGTACATTTATACTATAGAGCACATTTCTCCTATATTTATTCGTAGATGGTAAATGTAATTTATAAGATAATAAAAGAAAAAGAAAAGAAAGAAATATGACAAAGATAAATTACATAGAAACATACTTAATACAATACGAAGTAAGAAGATTTAGTATTAATCATGCCTAGGTCTTCTACCATTTACATAAAATATGATGGTGATATCACTTATTTGTGCATTAGATACTACTTTACTAAATATATATATATAATACAATAATAAAAAAGCATAATAGTACACACTATACATTAGATTAGGCTGATCTAGATTAGTTGTACAAGCCTCATCCTTTACCTAACCCTTCCTTGTACCTTGAGTCAGGTCGGAACTACTCAACTCTTATTCTCAAAACTTCAGCAGGGAAATCAACCTTGCAACAGTAGCCACAAATGCTCATGGAATGTGGATATTTTCAAACCACAATTCCCACACATGCATATTCTGTGCATACCTCCACACCAACTTCATGAGTAGGCAGAAAAAGGAAATCGCATTCCACACTCTGGCACAACCAATATTTTATACTTGGACTCATAATGAATATGAAGTAACTTTGTACGTATAGAATCATTTAAAACAATGTTATGATTTTAAATTAGGTTTCTGGAAACTAGAATCATTTAGGAGGCAAGCCCACTGTGACTTTTTTAGAGTAAACGACCCTATATAAGATGAAAAAATAAGTATGGTTTGTATAGGATACCATAAAGCATACCTCATCTGTCAACCACTGCAGAGTGTCCCAATCAATCTCTTCCCGGACAAAAACTTCCTCATATCTAGCTAGACCAAGACTGCGTAGCCATGCCAAGACAGGGGAGACATCAACAACTTTCCTTGGAGATTGAACAGGAGAACCATCAAAAACTTGACCAGGACAGTGTGGTCCTGGGTCATCATTGGGAAGAACAACCTGCAAGCAGTAACTTAAAATTCATTTTTAGATAAATCTGAACACCACGCCTTTAGAATTTTCATGGCAGATCCAGTATATCTGATGATTATATGATAAACTATTTTACAAAAATCACCTTATAAGTTTTAAGAAGGATTTAAAGGTAGGTTGCCAAGCAAGAAAACATTTAAGAAGGCCTATAGACATCGCTAAAATATTGACAGGAAAACTGAATAACTATGCAATCGGAATTAATTTCCAGCATACCCACCAAAACTGTACAATGACTGCATATTTCATCTAAGAATGTGTTTTCATAGAATAGCAATAAAACTCTCAATTCAAAAACTCACATAGCTGGTTTATCCAGGAAAGTTGTATAGTTATAAGAAGTATATAGAAAAAAAATTATTACAAGTGAAGAGTTACAAATGAAAAGGATAGTGGAACAAAGAATGAAGGATAATGGTACTCGTGGTTCCACGCTCTTGGTACTTTCATAGGGAACTACGAGAAATGAAAGGGAAATACAGAATTTTGCAAATCATGGACATAGAAATGTGATATATGTGAATCTGAAAAATGTTTTGGATGGATTTGTCAACCCATATCGTCAACAGTAAGATAAAAAAATCTGCAAATGAGAATTACAACAAAGATCATAACATGTAATGTGCATACACAATTAGACACTACCTACTCACACATGTATATCAGTACATCACAAATTAGCTAGACAATAAGAAGAATTACTTACATTCGTAGATTCCTCCTTGTCAAGGCATTCGTTGGTGTGAAGCAGCCGCAGTTCATGATTGAGGTCTGAAATGTCAATGCCGCACATGGGACAATGAACAGGAGGACTACTGTGTTCGGAAGCACATCCTTTGAGGTGTCCATTGGATGAGTCATCGTCGTCTTGCTTGTCGGCCTCAGCACATAACTTGAGTAACACATCAAGCTGCGTACCGGGTTCGAAGTACTCCTGGGATTTGGAGTCATTACCCTCATCCATACTGCTACTGCCATTATTACCAGAAGAAGAAGCAGCAGCATTGGGGTAGCAATCGAGTATGGATGTGAGTAATCTGGACTCTATCGAATTGGATGAATAAGTACTCTTATAATTTGATTTCTTGAAACCCTTTCTCTCTCTAGTACTAATATCTATATCAGTCTCCTCCTGCACATGTCTAGCATTAGCAGTACTACTGACCCTACTGCAATCAAAATCTATGGTAGACTCTATCGAATCTAAACCACTCCAAACTGCTAATTTATCATTGAAATTGCAATCTCCTTTAGATCCCAAGTTCTCTTTGCCGGCGGGATTCAAGTTGGTGGTGGAGGTTTTTGGTCTTTTAGGTTTAGATGATAATGATGATGGTGGGCATTGAATAAGCATAGAATTGGATGGTTTGAGAGGCTGTCGTGAGCTACTGATATGGGTTTGGGTTTGGGTGTGGGCTGTGACTGTGAGAGGTAGAGCATCTTGGAAATCATCGTCGTCGTTGTTGGAGATAGATGCTGCTGAAGAGGCGAGTTTATTATCAGTAGTGGATTGTGAATGGGTTTTCGGCTTGGATTTAGGTGCCATATTTCGGGAATGGAATGGAATGATCTACACCGAATATATAGAGAGAGAAAAGGGGCAGCAAACAGAACTCAAAAGGGCATTGAATGACATTTTAAAATTCGAAACACTAGTGAAATGGAGGGAAATGGGCCAAAACTCTTAATGGACCATGCCTTCTTGGTCTGGGCTCTTTCCACCTTTGGTGGACTTGTGGGAAAATTAAGTAAATACCACGGAGTACTAGTATGAAAAGAAACGAAAACAAAAAATAAATAATAATTGGATTTTGTGGATTAAATCTTCCGAACTTTTTGAAAGCTACAAAGAACCTCCATTTTATTTTTAAAATTTTTTTATTTGCGAAATAAATTAATAAAATAAATAATTGTAATGCTGCAAATATCTCCTTAAACTATAAACATGCCGGATATCTTTCTCGTTGCTTCTAAAGTCGGTTTTTACTCCATCAACCTGCACTCACCCAAAATTATACCAAAAAACAAGACCATGTGGGCAGATCATTTTCTTCTTCTTCTTTCATTAGCTACGAGGACTCAACCCTTACCTTCGTCATGGGAGGTAGAGGAGATAGTAGCTTGTGGTAAGAGGATATTTTTGTCATCTCAAAATTTGTCATTCAAAAAGTAAAATAACTTTGTCAATTAGGTCCAATTTGCACATATCCAATGTGTCCACAAACAATGCTTGCTTGAAATGGATGACAAGTATTTCATACAATGTAAAGGTGAGAGAGTAAATCAATGCTTATATTTTTTTATTAATTGGTACTCACACATTCGTATTTTTTTTGAGATTTGAATCAACGAACTCTCTTTGAGAATTAGGGGTCTGATACCGCTAGGCCACTGACCCGTTAACAATGCTCATATTAATAATGCAACAAATACATTAACGAGTTATATTATAAATTTAATAATAATGTTATAGCACAATGTGACATATTGCATATTGTTGTATATTCAATATAAATGTGTTGCATAATTTATTTAAAAAATTGTTTCGTGTTACATTTCGTGATGTAATTGTATTACATTGTGATATAGCGGGGTATTGCACTTGTGATATACTCGTATGCGTTAGATCAATCCACAAATTTCCTAAATAATCAGATTCAAGACAAGGACGAGGCACCTCTTTTCTAAATCCATCCCCACCAATGAATTTTTTATTTTTCAAAACCTGATTCGGAAAGCCCCGCATTGGGGTTGTAGTGAGTTGAGGACGTCCTCAGGTGCATATATATATATTTTTAAGAAAAACACGTCAAAATTGAACAATTATAAGATAATTTTGTAATTTTTTTTTTTAAAATTGCCAAATATTTAACAATAATAATAAAAAAAATGTTGTCAAAATTTAAATTTATCTTAAGAAATAAAGAAAAAAAAATATAGCTGATAAAAAAAAATTACTTCTATATTAACTATTAATAGCAGGTTCAAAACATTGCTGATTTTAAACTTTTTTTTTTTTTCAAATCCGTCCCAATAGGACAGGATGGGCGGGTTAAATTATAATTGTATTATTTTTTTTAGAAAAAAAAAAAAAAATACAAGGCTCACTAATCACCCGATTCAGCCCAGCTAATAGTTCCAAAAATAAAAATATAGTACTAAAGAATGTCTGCTAATTTAAACCAACATTATACGTGAAAATCACTGCCCAAGTAACTTTGGAGACCAAATTGCCCTCTCTTTTGTTTGCTCCCACAGATTATAAGCAAGGGTACCGGCGACCGGCGAGAAGTGTTCCGGCGGCAAATACCAGTATGTATATTTTTCCTGAATCGCTTTTTCTTCTTCACATCCAACACTTTATCTATCTATCTATCTATCTATCTATCTACTTATCTCACTCAAACAAGGCAAGAAAACGGCAGCTACCTAGGTGTTTCTTGGCGGCGAGAAGATTTCTGGCACGGCATCTGATCTCTCTCGTCTCGCACCTCTCTCTATCTCTCGCATATATGATCTTTCGGGCAAATGATCCTGTTTTAGTGACCACAGTTGAGCAAAACCCATCACACCATTGATCAAAGTTAGTATCTAGAACTGCTGATTAGAGACACTGACTGGTTTACAGTTACAGAGAGTGTAGTTAGTCTTAGTTTAAGGACTTGGATTTGGGTGCGAGAACAGAGGTTCTCAAGTGGATTTATTGGTTCTCTCGAACAGATTTTATGGGGTTTGCTCTTTGTTTTTTTAATTATAAATAATTGGGTATTTCTCAGGATTGATTTTTACATAATTTTCATAATGTTAGATTAGGTTTCTGCAAATGGATCTTAGATTGCACCGCATTTTGATCACCATGGTTAGATTTAATACAAATTTATTTTTACATTCTATTTCTCTTTTGGTAAATTTGATTTTTCAGCATTCACATTCATTTGATTTATTTTATTTTTTATGGTTTTCTTTATGTGATCAGTTTCTATGATTTTCAATGTAATAAAATTCGATGTTTATGGATTGATACTCTTGTGTGTAACTTGACTGGTTTTGTGGCGCCTTAATATTTTTTTAGGATTGTATTTTTGCTCTTCTTTTTCTTTCATTAAATAATTGGATCTTTGTTTTTCTTTTATGTTTTTGACCATTACTTTATTATTTTTTTTGGGGTGATTTGAGATCTATAATTGATTCATTTATAACTGGTAATTCAATTGGGTTTTGAGACGTTTCACTCTAAAGCTATCATTGTTGGTTTGATTTTGACAGATTGGAGATGCAAGTAGGTAGTTTAATTTTAGACCGTAAGACAATGTTTGTTTCACTAGAAAGCTATAATTTTTGGTTTTGTTCTCAGACCAACAAATGCTGTTTATTCCTGAACATGGTGTGTTCTTTATTTGCAGGGCATAAATAAATAAAAAAGAAAAACATGGGTGGGGAAGATAGATGGTGTGTGGTGACTGGGGGGAGAGGCTTTGCTGCTAGGCATTTGGTGGTGATGCTCATCCGATTTGAAATGTTTTCAGTCCGTATTGCTGATTTGCCCCCCTCTATCAAGCTGGACCCAGACGAGGAGAAGGGCCCCCTTGGCGAAGCTTTAAGGTCAGGCCATGCACAGTATATATCTACTGATCTTCGAGACAAGTCCCAAGTACTTAAAGGTTACATTCATCTGCTCTTATATCTATATGGATTTCCTTTGTCCACCTTTCTTTTTCCTTTTTTTTTTTTTCTTTTTTCTTCTGTCCACGACATATAAAAAAATTTCAGAGAATTTCGGATTCTTTGTTTTACTAGCCTTGGATGGTTAAAACATGTGTTTAAAAAATTAGAATTAACACACTATTACATAGATGTAAAAGTTTTCCTTGCTCAATGGGTATTCTATTTCATTTGTTGACCTTATCTTGCTTATTATTTGGCTCTACAGCTTGCCTAGGAGCTGAGGTTGTTTTCCACATGGCTGCTCCGGATTCATCCATCAACAACTACGACCTCCATCATTCAGTTAATGTTCAAGGTAAAAATACCTCTGTTAAGAGTTTTACAAATTAAACTTTAACCTGCTTAAAAAATTCTGTCACCCTTCTGTTTCTAACATCGATACGTATTCAACTGTGATCTGCAGGAACAAAGAATGTAATTGACGCTTGCATTGAGCAAAATGTTAAGAGACTTATTTATACTAGCTCTCCTAGTGTGGTCTTTGATGGAGTTCACGGAATATTTAATGGGGATGAATCATTGCAGTATCCAGCTAGGGTATTACCTTCAACATAATTGTTTGCCATAATTACCTGTTGTAAATTCAAGTATGAATTGTTAATTGTGATTATGAGCAGTGTAAAAGCTTACAACCTTATTTGCTTATTTGATTGAACTTGTTTCATTGGTTGACATAGCATTTGGAGCACGTTTGAGACTGTTGCTTTGGATGATTTCTTATCAATTGTTCTCATAGCATTTCTTCATCTTCTTTTCAGGATGATATTTAGGTCAGTTTATAATTTATAGGAAAGAAACATCTACTTTCTTCTCATCATAAACTGGTCATCAGATTTTGTTGACTGGGGAGAAAGTTATAGGTCAATGGACCACCAACCTCTTCAATATTTTCAATGAAGAATTTCTATGTACGTGTTTCCAGTTGCTCTCTCCATTTCCTTTTTTCCTCAATGTCTTTCCTGTCTAGTCTCCAGAGTTTCTATATAGACATATAAGGTGAACACAGTTCATCCATTTCAAATGCTTCCTTATTTATCTCTATGCTTTAAAGTGGAGGATTAAAGTTACTATCAATAATAGCATAATTTAATCAAGGAATTTTGTTTCACATATGTGTATGTGTTTGGGAATTGTGTGTTGCCGTAAATATATTTGTTGCGTTATCCTCAATTTTTAATCTCATTGCCAGCATTTTGTGTCTTCTTTAGCTAATAATTAGTTACTTACCCAAAAAAGGAAAAAAAAGAAAAAGAAAAAAGAGAAAAGGCTATTAAAAATTTATCTGTGTTAAAGAATTGTATCTCTCCAATTGTTTCAGCACAACGATTCTTATTCAGCAACCAAAGCCGAAGGAGAGGCACTTGTCATAAAGTCAAATGGTATGAATGGGCTTTTAACATGCTGCATTCGTCCTAGCAGCATATTCGGACCTGGTGATAAGTTACTTGTTCCATCTCTAGTTAATGCTGCAAGGGCAGGGAAATCCAAGGTAATCAAGTGTATTGTCCCAGCTATTTAATCAATTTTTTAGTGTTTCATGAGCTGGTTCTCATAATGATATATGAATTCAGTGATGTGATAGTGGACAACTAAATGTCCTGTAAATGACCTATAAGTGACAACTTTATACATCGTTGCACCAAGTGTGTGTTTGATGTCAATGACTGTGCCTTATGCGGGAACTCTTGTTGTCAACCTGTCAAGTGTCAACGAGTCAGTTTTCATAAAATTCACCTCGACCTAACATAATAAAACTTCAGCCATTTTCATATAGTCATTTTAATACCAGGCCATTTCAGCCCACTTAAGTACGGGAAACCATATTTTTCTTCAAATCCATATTGTCCAGTCCTTGCTAAATATCATGTTTGTCATGTGCCTACCAATTATTTTCATAAGCATCAGACACGTTTGGTTGGACAAAGATATCTAATAATTCATGTTTATTAATATAATTGTGCATAGAATGACTGAACTGCCTATGTCCTATACTCTGTTACATTAAAATATTATTTTACTACAGAAACTAAAAGAATAATATTTAACTAATATGAATATTTAGTTGTATTCCAGTATATTTTGATAAATCCTCCGTTTTAGGCACTTACCCGCACCTGATACATGTACCCTAGTCCATGTAGGATAGATCTTGGCAGTTCCATGAGTGTTATCAAATATATATATATATATATATATATATTTCCCTAAAATAGTTGTTTCTCTATTAGATAGAATTATAACTAATATCATAACTAATTGTATCTCTCCATCAAGCAAAATGAAGACCCTTCTCCTTTTTCCTTTCCATTCAATTCAGAAGTGGATAGAAAGGAGGAAGGAAATAAAGAGGCTCTTCATTTGCATTTGTATACTATATAAAAACACAGTGATAAAGTAGAGTGACACCCGTCCCCTTCCTGCTCAACCAAATAGATAGTTCTCTTTTCAATGAATGTTATTGGTAATTGGACAGTTTATGTCATGTTTAATCTTTGGGTAATTAGTTTACTGGTAAAATGGGGTTGTAGCCTAGTGGTGGTTCCTCACCTTCTAAATTAAAAGGCTGAGGAAGTCTCCATAGGGGCAAAGTGGGTGCGTGAGTTTCAAATAGGAAAAAAAGTGTGGTTGTGTAATTGATTGATTAACCAGATGACTACGATAATATATTTTGGTGCCTTTTACATAGATCGTTCTTTATGGAGCCTATGACTAGTTGGTTACGAGATACTCTTTGACCATTTGAATATTTGTTTTTGTATTGGTGAAGAGAGGTGTATTTTACATGTTCTCGATGATCTTATATCACATTGCTTTTGCTTTAGTAAATTCTAATATCCCTTTTCTGTTTGTTCTACTTTAAAATTTCAGTTCATCATTGGTAATGGCAATAACATGTATGATTTCACTTACGTTGAAAATGTGGCACATGCCCATATATGTGCTGAACGAGCTCTAGCATCAGAACGGATGGTTTCAGAGAGTGCCGCAGGAAAGGTAGTATTTCAATTGTTTTCAGCTCTTACTGTTCTGTATAAGTTATTGTATTCTACAGATTAACAAATGCTTTGAAAGAAAAATTAACAAATGCATCGAAAGAAATGGAGCATATGTTACTGTATATTCAAAGCATCAAAAGAGGTACTAACCCTTGAGAACAAACAATAAAAACTGTTGACAACGAAGTTTAGAGGCCCATAGGAGTCTCCATAGTAGGGCCTCTAATCTCCTCCATGGATTTACAATCTCTCTCTATAACCCAACAAAAAAGAGTGCTAATAATAGAGAATTTTAACTCCCCCATAGGAGTCTCCTTTCCTTCGAAGGACCTCCTATTTCTTTCAAGCCATAAACACCACCAAATGCAAAGAGGCGTAACCCTCTAAAAATCACGGACTTGGGCCCCCACCATACAACGTCGCCAAGCCTCAATCAAATTCTGGGGGATTTGGGCATAACCCACTGAACCACAAACAAACTCAACAGTAAGACCCAGCAATCCCAAGCCACGGGGCAATGCAAAAGAAGGTGATCAACCGTTTCCCCATCTCTCTTACACATGTAACACCAATTGACCACTACCTGTCTTCTCCTTCTTAAGTTGTCCTGGGTTAAGATCTTCCCTAACACCGATCTATAAATTTTGCAATGTAGAGTCTTGGTGTCATATTCTAGCCGTTCATTTATGTGGTAAATGATGAGATAAAATCTAGAAAAAAAAGCTATTGTTTTGCATGTTGTACTTGGGTATTTAACCTGTTTTGAAGAATCTATTTAACATAGGATCAAGACATGTACAGCCAAGACTATGGTTTCTCCGGAGATCTTCATAACCAGAAACACTAAAAGGTTCTGAAGGACCGTAAAGTGGTGTTAACACGTTTAGTGATACATATAACTTGTTATGAATTAATCCCTTATGTATCAACTGTGATACCACTTATTAGGAAGTAATCCGTCATTCATTCGGCGCAACGAAAGCACACACAACAAAATAGAGATCTGAACACCACACGACATACAAAAAATACAAACACACAAACATACACAATATTTAACGTGGTTCAGCCCCACCTGGCCTACGTCCACGGAGAGAAGAGATTCCACTATTCATCATTACAGAAGATATTACTATGGTAGATAATACACGCTCAATGTCTCATCAGAAATTACTCTGGTAAAGACTTTGAACACCGGCCCATGTACACGCACTCTCAATACTTTGGCATGGTGTCAGATACCTAAGTCTTCCATGATCTACCACTCCACGAGACCTCCGCTCGCCATCGGTGTTCACCACACAACATCATCTCTACCCCCACACACTCACATATTTCTATGAGACTATATCACTCTACCCTTCATCCTCACAGTGCCCTCTGCACCTTCTTTTCTCTCTTCTATCTCACCTTCTTCTTCTCTGCTTTCCTTCACCATGCACTCCTACATTTATAGGACATTCTTGGCCGCCTTTAGCCAACAGGAAATCCACCGCCTGTCATCAGTCAACCATTTCAGCTCCTTGTACAATCTGTTTCCTCATTTCTTAGTTGTCACTTTTCTTCCATCACCAGCTACACCATCTCCTTATAATCACTCACTGTCACGTACACAGGTAGACCACATCCAAACATATCACTCATCCAATTACCAAAACCCACATCACTCTAGCCAATTACCAAATTCCACATCAAGCAACCAATACATTTTAGGTCATCAATGAATTTTGGCCAACATCTAATATAACTCGTGAGACACACTGACAAGTTTCCTTTTCCTAGATCCTCACTGGAATATCTGATCTCCTAGAATTCAAAATGCCTTAAAGCACCTGATAAAGACAAGCTGAGCAATGTATTTGGCCCCTTAAGCTAGGGTTTTAGGAGTTTGTTTAGGGTTTCTCAGGTCTGTATGAGTCCTTGGATTGACAAATTTGTGATATCATGCTGGTTTTTCAGGCCTACTTTATAACTAATATGGAGCCTATCAAATTTTGGGAATTTTGCTCGCTTATTCTTGAAGGTCTTGGCTACGAAAGGTACTCTTCTTCTCCCTTCCGTTCTGACTCTATGCATCCAATTATCTTGGGGTGGCTTATCATGTTCAGGCCTTTTAAACACTAAATTCTATTAAGGTGTTTTAATTGGGGGACTTGGCGCCGGTGACTTTACCCTTTCACTTTCAGTCAGTTAAGAGTCACTGTTGGAAAACAGAAACATCATGAAGTATTAAATATATGCTAAAAGAAAAAGGAATTATATATTAAATGCTTAAATGTCTTGCCACCTGCTAAGAAGGGTGAAAAGCTAAGAGATGATGGGAAATCACAAGCCTGCTTTTTCAGCTTTTCCATTCCCAGAAAATTGAAGAACAGATAACAGTTTCAAAATATGTTTGGCAGTTTGGCTGAAAATTTTCTGGAACTGTTTTTTGAGAACTCAGTTGAAAAGGCATAATTTCAGACATCAGCCTTTTGTTGTTCCCGAAAACTAGTTTCTGTCTTCAGAAAACTGTTTTCAGGTAACTAAACCAAACAATCTTTACAATATTCTTAGCTCACAGATTACACAAGCAAATTTTCTCTTCCCGCAGTTATCTTTTTAATTCTTGCGTGTTCCTTACTGTCAATTACATTTTTTCTGGCTTATTGTATGATGCCATGTAAAGTAATGCTTATTAGCTATTGAATTAAATTGGACCAATGGATTGATTGTCTTACATAAAGAATGAACCAAGTTATAATCACGCGCACCTATATTTTGATTTTAGACGGGAAATCTCTATCACTCTCGCTTTCTCAATGTGAATGTAATATTGTACTAAATTGTAGAATTACTCCCTAATTTATGACAGTCATTCCTTTATTGACAATTCTTGCTTTAGTGCTTGGAATCTTCTACATAGGATTCTTCTTGTAATTGCATATCCATGGTTGGCTACTGGCATAGATTGATATTCTTATCATTGACTAATAAATAGGCAAGATGATTCTGAGTCTCTCACTTCTGTATCCTGTCTGCTTCTGAGAAGGCATTTACCTGATTATCAGGTAGTGATGACATAAGTGCTAATTTATTTAACTGCTGTCTTTGGCATAAATGTTAGCGACGCTAGGTGCTAGCCTTTAGTTGCTACTTACTAGGTTGGATTTGTTTTTGATATTACCTTTTAAATGTTCCATCATATAATAAGCCATAACCGCCAAATGTTCCATCATCTAACAAGCCATTTCTTACTTAGGTTTGCCTCTGGGTGCTCCTTCGAGGTGTGTGGGGATTTGGGATCCAGTTGTGGATAGATTTGAGAGAAGGTTGGCGGGTTGGAAGAAGCAGTATCTCTCCAAGGGCGGCAGGGTCACTCTGATTAAGAGCACCCTCTCTTGTCTTCCCACTTATTTTATCTCTCTTTTTCAGATTCCCTCTTCAGTTGCGAAGAGGATTGAGAGGTTGCAGCGTAATTTTCTATGGGAGGTTAGAGGTGAAAAGTTTAAGTTTCATTTAGTGAGATGGGATCAGGTTTGCAGACCAATTCGGAATGGTGGGTTGGGTCTCCGTAAATTGGTGCCTTTTAATAAGGCCCTCCTTGGGAAATGGTTGTGGAGGTTTGGGGTGGAGAGACATTGGCTTTGGAGGAGGGTTGTGGTGTGTCGTTTTGGGGAAATGAGAGGAGGGTGGAGTTCATTGGAAGTTAGAGATCCTCGGGGGGTGGGGGTCTGGAAATTTATTCGGAAGGGTTGGGATGATTTTTCCAAGCACATTCGGTTTCGTCTTAGAGATGGGAGGAGGATTTACTTTTGGGAGGATGTGTGGTGTGGAGATATTCCTCTTGCTCTCGCCTTTCCTCAGCTTTACAGGATTGCTTCGGATAAGCAGGCCATGGTGATTAACTGTTATCATCTTGATAATGGGAGATTGGTTTGGGATGTTCGATTCAGGCGTTCCTTTCAGGATCGGGAGATCGAGGAGGCCATTCCTTTCTTAGAGTTGTTGTATCGCCAGAGGATTGTGGAGGAGGGTTCGGATTGTTGGTCTTGGGTTGCAAACTCTCAGGGAGTTTTGAGGTGAGGTCTTTCTTCAGGTGCCTCTCATTAGTTCCCGGAGTTCGTTTTCCTTAGAAGTCTGTTTGGCGTTCCAAGGCTCTTCTCAAGGTGGCTTTCTTTGTGTGGACTTCGGTTCTGGGTAGGATTTTAACCCAGGATAATTTGAGAAGGAGAAGCCAGGTGGTGGTCAATCGTTGTTTTATGTGTCTTAGTGATGAGGAATCTGTGGATCATTTTCTCATTCATTGCTCTTTGGCTAGAGAGTGTTGGGATTGGATGCTTGGCTTATTTGGTTTTTTTTGGGTTATGCCAGGATCTGCTAGAGGGTTGATTGAGGCGTGGAGAGGTTGCCCTGTGGGGGCTCTCAGTCAGGATGCGTGGAGGGCTACGCCGCTTTGTGTGTGGTGGTGTATTTGGCTTGAAAGGAATAGGAGATTCTTTGAAGGAAAGGCGTTGTCGATTTCGGTTCTTAAATTCTCGATTATTTCCATTCTCTTTTGTTGGGTTTCAGGATCATAGATCGTTGGAGGAAATTGTTGACTTTTTGGCCTCTTTGAAGGCTTGAGGCTTTTGTGGTCTTTTGTGTTTTCTTGGGTTCCTTAATCCCATAAAATTACAAAATTAGTGGAACCTTAATCCCATAAATGCATTTTTTTTTTTCCTATCAACAGTTCTCAAGGGTTAGCCCCTTATGTGAATATACAGTAACTTGTGAAATGTTTTTTCACATAATGAAAGTAACTTATAGAACCTGAAATTGACTTGTGGATTATTGTAACGGGTGGGCGCTTGCCCATTTACCAAAAAGCTCGAACTATTGTGTAGTGCTGCATACTCACTCATTTATACCCAATCACTTTCCCATCCGATTCCGATGTGGGACAAATGACCCTTGTTACATTCTCCTCAACCCAAACTCACAACGCCCTCGTTGTGGCTCGGGCCACCCTGCCTACCCGGGCTGCTCACCCAGACGCCTTCCGGGCCGGGCGCTTGGCGTGACACCGGATCAAAGACTGGGTCTGGCTCTGATACCAACTGTAACAGGTGAGCGCTTGCCCATTTACCCAAAAGCTCGAACTATTGGATAGTGCTGCATACCCACCCATTTATACCCAATCACTTTCCCATCCGATTCCGATGTGGGACAAATGACCCTTGTTACAATTATCCATTAATTAATTTCCATAACACACTGGGGATCCATATGCCCAAAACAATGGACATCTTATGTCATGTTTGGTGGAGTTTCCTCCTCTACTTGATGGAGAGGATGGGGGTCAGGGGGCGATGGAGGAGATGGATTCTTTTTTGTATCTCTAGTGCTCGTTTCTCTGTCCTTGTGAACTGAGCTCCGACTGGGTTTTTCTCTAGCTCGAGAGGCTTGAGACAGGGGGATCCGTTTTCTCCTTTCCTTTTCCTTTTTGTGATGGAGGCGCTTAGTAGATTGTTGAAAAGGGTTGTGGAGCTGGGTTTTTTGAGAGGCTTTCGGGTGGGCAGGGATGTTGCTAGTCAATTGGAGATCTCTCACTTGATGTTTGCGGATGTTACTTTAGTTCTTTGTGATGTTGAAGCGTCCCAGCTGCGACATTTGAGATACGTTTTGGTTTGGTTCCAAGTTATCTTTGGGCTTAAGGTGAATGTCGGAAAGAGTGTTTTAGTGCCGGTTGGGGATGTTCCTGATATCGAGACTTCTATTCAGATTCTTGGATGTCGCACAAGCTTTTTCCCCATTTCTTACTTAGGTTTACCTTTGGGAGCCCCTTCCAGATGTGTGGGGAGCTGGGATCCGGTGGTGGATAGATTTGAGAAGAGGCTGGTGGGTTAGAAGAAGCAGTACCTATCCAAGGGGGGACAGGTCACTTTGATTAAGAGCACCCTTTCTTGCCTCACCACTTATTTCATCTCCTTTTTTCAGATTCCTTCTTCTGTGGCAGAGAGAATTGAGAGATTACGATGTAACTTTCTTTTGTGTTGTGTTGTGTGTGTGTGTGTGTGTGTGTGTGCTGGGGGGGGGGGGGGGGGTTTCAAGTATCATTTGGTTCGTTGGGAGCAAGTGTGCTGTCCTATTCGGAGGGGAGGTTTAGGGATTAGAAGGTTGTTGCCTTTTAATAAGGCTCTTCTTGGGAAATGGCTTTGGAGATTTGGGGTTGAGAGGCAGTGGCTTTGGAGGAGAGTTATTGCTAGCAAATTTGGGGAGAGCAGTGGTGGATGGAGTTCTCTTGAGGTGCATGGTCCTAGGGGGGTGGGGGTTTGGACTTACAGTCGAAAGGGGTGGGACGCTTTTCGCAAACATGTTCGTTTTCGGATCAAGGATGGTAGGAGGATTAGATTTTGGGAGGACCTTTGGTGTGGGGAGCTTCCCCTTGCTCTTTCTTTCCCATGACTTTTCAGGATTGCTTCTAATAGGCAGGCCTTGGTGGTTGACTGTTATCATCTTGATAACGGAAGACTAACTTGGGTTGTTCAGTTTAGGAGGCACTTTCAGAATTGGGAGATTGAGAAGGTCACTCGTTTTTTGGAGTTACTGTATCGCCAGGTGATTTCTCATGGGGATTTTGATTGTTGGCTTTGGAATCATTACTCTCAGGGTCGATTCGAGGTGAGGTCTTTTTTCAGGTGTCTTACTGTTGGTGATGGTGATCCTTTCCCTTGGAATCTATTTGGCGTTCCAAGGCTCCCCTTAAGGTGGCATTCTTTGCTTGGATTTCTGTCTTGGGTAGGATTTTAAGCCAGGATAATTTGAGGAGGAGGAATCAGGTGGTTGTCAAACGTTGCTACTTCTGCCTGCGTGATGAGGAGACAGTTGTTCACCTTCTGTTGCATTGTAGCATGGCTAGAGATTGTTGGGATTTGATGATCGGATTATTTGGGGTCCCTTGGGTTATGCCCCGTTCCGCTAGAGGATTGATTGAGGCTTGGAGAGGTTTCTCAGTTGGGGCTCTCAGTCAGGATGCTTGGAGGGCTACGCCTCTCTGTATTTGGTGGTGCATTTGGCTCGAGAGGAATCGGAGATATTTTGATGGAAATGAGAAGCCTATTTCTATGCTTAAGTTCTCCATCATTTCCATTCTTTTTTGTTGGGTCTCTGGGAGAGATTATCGTTCTGTAGAGGAGATTGTTATTTTTTTGGCCTCTTTGAAGGTTTGAGGCGTTTTGTGGCCTTTGTTTCTTTGGGATTCGCTCCCCTTTTGAGCGCTTTTTATAAAAATCGTACTTATAAAAAAAAAGAAAGTTTATGTACATTTATTGTTATACATGCTCTCTCATATACTCACTCATACGCATTGCCTACATAACAACTACTATATACACCAATATCCTATGCCTATATTTGTGTCTATAGTTTCTTACATGATTAGTTTGCATTTTATATATTGATAAATTATTTTTGAAAAAATTTGATCAAATGTTAGAGATGAAATGAAGATTATATATATATATATATATATATATATATATATATATATATATATATATTTTTCATGCAAAAGATTTAGCCAAAAGTATTCCATTCTGTAAATTACTATAGTGTTTATTTTCATGCTCTTCCAGCTCCTTCATGAGATCTTGTTGCCTAGGTTATTGCACATGGAGCTTTTGGCATAGTTCAACCTGGATGACTTAAGGAAAAAAAAATTAAATGTGAGATTCTTGTTTCTAGAATATAAAAATGTTGCTCATTCTTTTCTTGCCAAGGGAGGAATTTTAATTATATTATATATATTTGTGCATTTAAGTATAAAAAAATCTCCAGACTGGCTACTTGGGTTATGCAAACAAAATTGTTGATAGATGGAGACAAGGGGCTTTTGGAGGTGAAACATTGAATCATTTCACTTGAAAGATTACGGATTTGGGCAGCTCCTTAGAAGTGGAGTTCAATGCGTGTTTAGTTAGCTTATGGCTGACACATGGGCCTAAAAAGGAGTAATTACCCGTTTTAGTTTTAGAGGTTAACACTATCCCCTGTGCTGTGGTTTTGAGGAGTGTTTTTCGGGGAGTAATTTTCTTTTATATTGTTTTTTTTTTTTTTTAATTCTTTCATTTTTCTTTGGAAGGGCCTCGTCTTTCCCTTGTTCCCTTTCTCTTTCTCTAATGCAATTTCTTGTTTTCTATCACATATAACATAAGAAATTTGTATTCTCTCTTTCTTCATATTTTTTTATTTATAATAACATATATTTGTTGAGGAGCCAGAAATTACATCATATATATATATATATATATGTTTTTTTTCTTGCTTTCTGATTTTATGTAGTTTGCAGGCCAAGAATTAAGATTCCTGTCTTTGTTATGATGCCAATTGCACGTATTGTGGAATTGACATATAAGCTGTTAGCACCCTACGGAATGAAGGTTCCACAGCTAACACCATCAAGAATCCGACTCCTCAGTTGCAGCAGAACATTTAATTGTTCAAAAGCAAATGATCGAATTGGCTACACACCCATTGTGCCACTTCAGGTTTGTGATCCCATAAAATGAGTAAAGTTACACCTGATTTTTCTAGCATGAGATAATAAAACTGTAATTATTATCTTAAATGAATGAATTCATTCTATTTGAGAATACTTATGGGAGAACTTGAATGAATATGCACTAAAATTTCTATTGAGGTTGAGAGAGACGTATTTGATGGTGTTCTCGTAATTTACAGATAACCCTAAAAATCTGATACACACACACACACACACACAAGTATAGCTTATTTACAAGATAACCCCAACTTTTTCCATTAATTACACTATTATCCAACTCCCCCCCTCAAGTTGGAGCATAGATATCTATCATGCCCAACTTGTTACATAATTCTGAAAACTGTGACTTTCCTAATGCCTTAGTAAATACATCTCCCAACTGATCTTTGGATCTCACTTAAGTAGTAATTATCTTCCCAACTGATCTTTGGATCTCACATAATTAGTAACTACCTTCTTGCTCATCACCAAGTCTCTCACAAAAATGGCAATCTACTTCGATATGTTTAGTTCTCTCGTGAAACACTGGATTGCTAGCAATGTACATAGTGGCCTGATTATAGCAAATCATTCTCATAGGCATGTCATTGGAAAACCCATCCCTTGTAAAAGAGATTTTACCCACATCATCTCACAAGTTGTATGAGCCATTGCTCTATACTCTGCCTCTGCACTTGATGAAGAACACTAGTCAATGATGACGCAACGATGAACACTGACGATGATGATGACGAACACAACCAAGACCAACACTGGTCGTGTGAGAACAGAAGATGAAAACCTGAAAGAAACTCAATCTCTCGATGATCACGAAGCCAACACACAGGCACAACGATGACACCCTCTTTGCGCAAACAGTGATGAACAATTTAACGTTAAGATCGGTGCTCTGATACCATGTTGAGAGGTTGAGAGAGAGAGACGTATTTGATGGTGTTCTCATAAATTACAGAGGCCTAAAAATCTGATACACACACACACACAAGTATAGCTTATTTACAAGATAACCCCACTTTACCATTAATTACACTATTATCCAACAATTTCCATATAGGTTCTGTCATGTTTTGCTGAACCTATATAAATCTTGGAGCCTTGCATTGCTGCAATCAGTTTGCTTGTGAAATGCAGTAATCTGGATTTCCGATTGATAATCACCCCTTGGATGAGCCACTGGATAATAAATTAACTAGGTTAACGGTTCCCACACCTAGAACCCCAATTAACCTCTTGACACAAACTGACGCCAAACTCTCCACTCAAGTCTGCAGGCTGATTGTCTGCTCGTCAGTAGACTTTACTCCTCAAGAAACCATTTCTCCAATGGTTGTCCTTCTTTTTGATCAAATTCCGATCGGTTGAATTGAATTGCTTCGATATGCTGATGAACTCCTCGTTGATGGATACTCAATCACATAGGATGGTGTTTGAGCGAACCTTAAGTTGAGTAATTGGAAATTTTACTCTCTAGAATATTAGAGGCTTAGAATCATATTCTTGGCTAATTATAGGAGGCCCTATATTTTGGTAAGTAAAATCCTTTTAAAATTCTGACTTGATGGAGTTTCTAAAAATATTGTTCCGCCGGTGCATATAACCCAATTCAACACTTAAATCTGAATGGGTTAAGTGTTTATTCAATTAAGTGCATTTGATAACGCAATTTTAGTATCACTTAAAAAATGTCACTGAAAATGAGTTAAAATTTTAAGTGACATTGACTTCACTTATCACTGAATGCTGAACACTTCTAATATATTTTATTTTATTTTATTTTTTTCTTTTCTAAATTTACAAATAGTCAAATACCACTTAAAAATTCAGCTCTTAATATATATATTTTTTGATAAGTAAGATTTTATTGAAAACGCTCAAAAAGAGGAGCGGATCACAAAGAAACACAAGGGCCAAAAGGCGCCTCAAACCTTCAAAGAGGTGAAAAAAACAATAATTCCTCAATAGATCTATAATCTCTCCTTGAGACCCAATATAAAAGAGTAGAAATAATAGAGAATTTAAGCATAGAAATAGGTTTCTCCTTTTCCTCAAAATATCTCCGATTTCTCTCGAGCCAAATCACCACCAAATACAAAGAGGCGTAGCCCTCCAGGCATCCTGCACGAGAGCCCCAACAGAGACACCTCTCCAAGCCTCAATCAACCCTCTGGAGGAACAAGGCATAACCCAAAAGGCACCAAATAATCCAAGCATAAAATCTCAACTGTCTCTGGCCATGCTACAATGCAAAAGAAGGTGATCAACTGTCTCCTCATCGCACAAGCACATATAACATCGATTGATCACCACCTGATTCCTCTTCCTCAAATTATCCTGGGTTAAAATCTTTCCCAGGACGGAAGTCCAAGCAAAGAAGGCTACCTTAAGGGGGGCCTTAGAACGCCAAAGAGACTTCCAAGGGAAAGGGCCTCCGGTGCCGACCGAAAGGCACCTAAAAAAGGACCTAACCTCGAAACGGCCCTGAGAGTTAGGAACCCAAATCCAACAATCCAGTTCCCCACTAGTACTTAATATTTTCAGTACTTAATTTTCAGTTTTATCAAACAACACCTTTGAACAATACCCTTAATGGTTCTCTTCATCAACCGACGCTTTGATCAATGCTCTAAGGATTTCACAGTAATAGCTTTGTGATCCTTCAATCGGTAATTGATGCTCTCGGGACCTCATTCAATGGATCAACCAATTCATGTAGGCTCTTTGTTTCTCAATAAACATTCAGTTTTAAGATTTGTAGAAATCCTTTATTTTTGAAAAACATTTTATTGTAAACACTTTTATAACAAAACTTTGAGCCTCTTCAAGATCAAGTTAGGTCATTCTAGGTCTATCTAAGGTCGATTTACCTGTGCACTAGATATTGAGCATTTTGATTTCTCGTCGTGTTCTTTGCAAATCTTTGTGTGCATTGTTTTCAGTGGTTGTGCTTATATGACTCATTACACTACACATTACAACCAAAGTTCTGAGTAGGAAATTGCCAACACATGACTCATATACTTAACAATTTTAATTTCCTGTATGATGGTTTGCCTATTGTTTATGAATTTCTGCAGGAGGGTCTCAGGAGGACAATTGAGTCATACCCACACTTGAGAGCTGATATTCAACCGAAAAGGCATGGGCCATCTAAAGCTTCTATATATCTTGGAAGCGGAAGGGGTATAAAATTGTTGATTCCTTTTTTCTCATTAATAACATTGTTATGCCTGCCTGTTGTACGTCCAAATGCTATTAATATCCTAGATACATTCAAATATTTTGTTGCAGAATGCAGGTCCATGTAACCATTTATTCTGTCTATTCTCCCCCCTTCCCCTTCCCCACCCCCCGCGCACGCGTATTGTAGGAATGCTATATACCCTAGATACTTTCATAAAATTTCTAGCAGAATGCTTTGAGGGCGGCCATTCAACCTAAAAGGCATGGCCCATTTAAAGCTTCTATATATATTGGAAGCGGAAGGGGTATAAAATTTGTAACAACCCACTCTACCACATTGTATGATATTGTCCGCTTTGGGCCCAAGACCTCATGGTTTCGTTATTGGGTTTTACCCCAAAAGACCTCATTCCAATTGGAGTGTACAAATTCCACATATATAGCACTTCCCCTTTCCACACCCAGGTGATGTGGGATTGTGCACCTGTTTGGGCGAGTGCACGAGGCACAGGCAGGCTACCACACTAGGCAACCCTAATTAAGTTCGAGTTGAAAATTTTCAACTCAGACCCAACTTTGATTATAAAAATAATTACCCAAGTCTGAAAAAAATCAAATCTAGCTCGAGTTGGCCCTGCCCAAGTTGCACCTTAGTTAAACAGTTAGGTGTCTTAGTGAGGTTGTATAATAGTGCTACTTTAGTATGTTAAAGATACCTAAAAAGAAGGGAAATGGGAATTAAAATCCATCCAGTTGATAGACAGCTTGTGATTTTGTAATAAAACCAGTTGGTCTCCATACTTGTCCCAATTGGATGAGGGACGATCATTATGTAGATTAATCTCATAGCTTTCCTGCTCTCATCGGACAGGTATGGAAAGCTTATAATCCTGTTTGATGAAGTTTCATGCCTAACATTTGGGCCAGGTATAGCTTTGCATATATTCTCTTAGTTCAACAGTAGTTTTGTAATAAGCTAATGCGCATATTAATATGCATAAATGCGCTCCTTTAAATGGCTTAATTGGATAACTTGCCTGGGATGGGGGCAGAGAACGTTGAGAAAGATGAGGGACGATCATTGGGTATGTTAATCTCATAACTTTCCTGTCCTCATCCAATTGGGACATGTATGGAATGCTTATAATCCTGTTTTAAGCTGTTTCATGCATATTGTTTGGGCTAGGTTTAGCTTTGCACATCTTCTATTGTTCCAATACCATTCCTAGTCTTGCAATTAGGTGTATATAAGCATATCAATATGCATCAATACACTTCTTTACAGGGGTTGGGTAACTTGCCCTGGGTTGGGGTGCCTCATTCCAAGATCAACCCTTCTCCATTAAGGCATTTGTTTTGTTGTATAGGATTCATTTTCCCCCCTTCTGAATGGAATGATTCTTATCTATGTAGTACATATTCTTTAATTTATTTTATATATTTCCATACTGGAAACTCCAGTATGTATGTGTTGCACAACTTCTAAAGGAATGACACTTGTCTTTCATTTTCTTTTGAGATGCCATGTCATACACCTCATGTTTCAAGCATCAATTCTAATGTTCCTTGTTATGTGAATTATAATTCTGATTTGGTTTTTCATTTTTTTTTTTTTTTTTTGAAGATTTTCCTTTTAAATGAGGGCCGGTCAATTGATTGATCCAATATAGGCAGAGAGGGACCGGTCATGAATGTTGACATGCCAGTTAGTTGTTAGAAAAACCTACTCTATCTGGTTTTGCAGATTAAATGTGTGCAACCATAGAGGCAAAATGGGTGTGCATTGCTTGCTTATCCCCCTGGGGACAAAAAAGAGAATTTTTCTAACAACTAACTGGCATGTCAACATTCATGACCGGTCCCTCTCTGCCCACCAACATGAATTTGACATCAGAACAAGGAGAAATAATGCCAAGCTGAGATATGGTCATAAATTAACCTTAAACTCAAATAGTTTATTGTTTGATTAAAAAAACTGGCCCCAAAGAGGCAAATGGTTGGAATTTATCTTATTTTTTATTCTAATACATGTTTGCCATTGGAGTATCACTGAAAGAAGATAAAGGGTTGAGCTACACTGTCTCAAACATGGATATATATATATATACACACACACACACACACATATAAATATTTCAAACTTGGATAATAAAATTGTTCCAAATTCATTTGATCTACATTACATATGAAATGATTTGTGAATAGGGATCCAACATCACAAGAAGTGTTCCATAATTTTCTTAATCTGTGTATTATTTAACAGTTCATTATCACTGCTCATTTTGCAGTTGCTGACACACTTCTTTGGAGGGATAAAAAGCAGTCACTCACCACATTGTTAATTATGTTCGCATTTTACTTTAATTTTATAGCATCTGGATATACCATCATCACTGCAGTATCACGGCTTCTTCTGGCGGCATCGATCTTCTTGTTCATTCATGGCAGATTACCTAAGAAAATGTATGATGCCTTTTATTTTTGAAATTTTAATATACAAACTCTTACGTAATCAAAATTATTAATCTTACAATAACAGCAACAATTTGGATGTGTGGCGAGATAAGAAAGGGTAGATTTAGAAATAGACGCATTCAAGAGATGGTTGAAGTGAAACCATTGGAGATGAAAGGAGAGAAAATTGATTAAGATGGTTTGAATGTGTGCAAAGAAGACCACTAAGTGCACCTATTAGGAAAAGTGACATGGTCTACATTGAGGTGAGGGTAATGCTAGGGGAAGGGAAAGATGAAAATTAACATGGGTATAGTTAGTAAGGAAAGATATGGTAACATGGGAGTTTGACTGAGACTATTGTGTTAATTAGAACAAAATGGAAAAATAGGATTTATGTGACCTACCCCAAGTAGTTGGAAAAAAGGTTTTGCTGACTTGTATTTTTTTTTTTCTGATAAGTAAAGATGTATAAAAAGTGCTCAAAAGGGGAACGCATCCCAAGAGAACTACTGTTTTGCTAACTTGTATAAGAATATGATATTCATCAGAGGGGCAGAATTTCATAACTTTTCTGTATGGCCACATATGCAAATCCATCTAGTGTTACCAAGTCATCTAATAGGTGTAATCCATAAGCCCTCCATTCTAAAATGGCTGTTTAATAGTGAAATGATATGGTTCAATGGGAAAGACAAGCATGTTTAAGAATGCAAACTCTTGGCTATAAATGACACTTCTTATTGGTGCAGATTGGGATATTCAGTTGAAAAAGTTCCTGAGTCAAATTTCCATTTCTCAGAAGAGATGTCGCACCGAGTGGTTGTGTCAGTGGCCTCATTGTGGAACTCTGTGGTAAATGGTTTAAAATCTCTTTGCAAAGGGAATGACTGGATGCTATTCATCAAGGTATTTTGCATTGCATTAATGTCTTATCTGGACTTTGTGTGTTTTTAGTTGTTTCTAATTCATGAGCAGAGTGTGCTGGGAACATAGGACTTGGGGGAAAAAAATGTGCTGGGAAATAGGGTTTCTGGTTTCTTTTTCTGATGTTCTACTAATAGTAATATTATTCAATAATCGTCTGCTACAAGATCCAATTAAATAATCTGGAGAATATTGCTAGTTTTCACCTTAAACAGCAAATTTATTGCTGATTGTTAACCAACAGCCATTTAAATAGTTGCCAATCTAATTATGATGAAATGGACAGGAGAAGTTACCTAGGTCTTTTTCTCTGGGTTCTCTTCTATTTATAACAAAGTAACTTTACATAAGAGAAGCAAACATTTAATGATGAAAGTACTATACTTATAAAAGTAGTGATGACATTTCCAAAATGGGGAACATAATGATGGCTGTTTCATGTTGCCTTCCTAATTTGATTATTGTCGCACCTCCATTGTGCGTGGATAGCTCTAATTCCCAAGTAGCATTGAGATAGGGGAACAACTTGGGCTGGTTTTGTAGGGTTAGCAGTCAACCCAGGGTTGATCGAAACTGTGTACGACTCTGCACAAGCCCAAACGAGTCTGAACTATGCAATTCAAGTCCAACTCGACATTTAACAAACTCGGTTTGTGTTGTTCAGATTTGCGAACAAAGATTGAAGAAAATACCGAGGAACATTTGGACAACAAAGTATGGAATAATCTCCTGAAATCCATATACTTACATATAGTCAAACAAATTTTCAAGCAAGAATGTGTTAGCGAACTATTGAGCCTAGTTGAGGGATTGTTTGAGATTGACTCGTTTGTTAATCAAACTTGTGAATTTTGTTTGAGCTCGATTCGTTTATTAAATAAATGACACGAACTGAAGCCCTAAGCAAATGGAGCGCGAGCTATTCCATGAACAACTCAGTTCCTTCGCAGCCCTAACAATCCTATATCTTACCCTATATCTGAACAAGCTAATATATTAGTCACTTTTGTCAGGGATTGAGTGCCCTACAAAGTCTTTATTGACATTTATTAAATAAAATATGTTTGAGATGAATTATTGTATTGAGTAGTTCAAAGAGTTTTTGATCTAATTGTCCATTTATTATGATAGGATGAATTTACATGCACAAAAAGTAAAGGCACGTGCATAGGAGATATAAATTCATCGATATTCGTAATTATTAATGTTCGCACTCAAAGGAATATAATTGGACATTTTATTTCATGAGTATAACTGTTGGTTTCTAACTGGGTGGAAACACCAATTGGAGTGACCTAATGATTCTGTCGTTAAAGCTAATTGAGACGATCATGTTCCACTCAAATTGCTTCCGCTTTATAATTATTTCGGGCTACCCAACAACATTGTCATGCTGCATTGATAGGGATGGCAACGGGCGGTTTGGGGCGGGGATCTCATTCCCCATCCCTGCCCCCGTTTAATTTTCTTAGCCCCAAAACTGCCCCAAAACAAATTAAAATTTCACCCCCCCACCCCATAACCACCCCCGCCCCTTGCCCATATAACCAATTAATTCTCAAAACCTAGAGAATGGGAAACAAACCTGAGCTGATTTGTAGGAATTGAGCGTGCTCTCAGGGGCCTACTTGCGCTCCTAACTGATCTTGAACTCAGCGAGATAACGATGATAATCACCCTCAATCTTCAGGTAAAAACTATGGAGTTCCCAGCGGAAGCCAAAGGGATAAGCCTCAAGTCAAATAGCTTGAGAATACTGTCACAGATGGAGGAGAGCTCGGACTCGATCTTGGATATGTAGTTTCTGATCATGGAGACGTGGTCCTCGTTGCAAAGGCTCTCCTCCTGCTCAATCGGGAAGAGCCGATGCCGAAGACGAGGAGGTATGCGGTAGCAGGAGACGGTTTTGGCGGTGGAGGTGGAGGAGGTGGAGGTCGGCTGAGGCAGTCGTTATCGATTCTTAGGAGAACGAAGAGAGAGAAGATGGTGAAGGAGGCCGCCTTAGGACTTGTTTGCGGGATGTAGTTTTGCTTGGTTTCGTTCTCAGACTCAGTGATGGCCACCTTAGGAGTTAGTACTAGGGTTTCCAATGTATACTGTATGTATATATATTTTAGGCTAGTTTGGTAAATACTATTACATGGGCGGGGGTTAACTTAGTAATTTCACAATATAATCGGGGCGGGGAGGGGCGGGGGTGGGCAGGTTTATTTCCTCATCCCCGTCCCCATTTAGATAAATGGTTCCCCAAAACCGTTTTAAACGGGGTGGGGTGGGGCGGGGATTTTTGCCATCCCTATGCATTGAGATATAATGTGCATAGTCTTATTAATGATTGTCATTCTGCACATGTAATAGGAATGTAATATGTTGCCCCTGTTGTATCTCCATAACCAGCCAATAATCAAGCTGATTTAAATTTCGTTATTGCCTTGTCTATTATCTGTTAATTATTGAAGAATATACAAGGTGCATGAAGACAATGCCCTTTCATCTCAATGGATATTTGTACCATGATTCTGTCTACATAAGCCATTCTTTTATTGTAAGTTTCTGTAACTGAAACTTAAACAGAGATATTGCAAGTCATGTAGATTGTGCTATAGTTAGTGCCCTTCCTCTAGAAAAGAAAGGTGCAACAATCTTGTGTTCTGTCTCTTACCATACTTGATATGCTTATCCTTTAGGCAATTTTACTCAATTATTTCATGCATTTTCTAAATATGCTGATGAAACAGGTGGTTCTTTCTCTATTGGCGCTCATTCTCATCGAAGCCATTTCACTGCAGGGCTTGTTTGTTTTAGGTTTGTATTCTTTGTCTACATTGGTGCGTCTTTTAGTTGCCTACATAAATTTACATTTTGACAGTTCTTTCGATTTCAAGTCAGTTCAGAGATTTCTTTTTTCAAGACATTTTGACTTATATAGCATTTGAATTACTGCTGCAGAAGTTTGGGATTTCATTTTAGTTTTGATCAGAACCATCTTCTTCTTATTATACAGGACTTCCCATTGTCTTTGTTGCTTTTCTTGTGTATGAGAAAAAGGAGGAAGAGATTGATGGTCTGGTTCTGGGAATTCATTCATTTGGATGCAAATTAAAATCCAATATTGCCAAAAGATTAAGCAACTCCAAGTAATTCAGTAGTAGTGGGCCATCAGCAAGCCTTTGCTAAGTGACATCGCCAACTTCATTATATGCTTGGAGCTTTATAGCTGGTGTGCAGGCGATTTCAATGTGGCAACTGGCAACACTGTATTTGTTTCTTGTGACATAAATTTTGTTCTTCTCTGGTTATTTTTTAATTTTATTTTTGTTGTTTTTTACAAATGTACTCGACTCTCTAATTAAAATACGATTTTTATTTTTTGGTTGCCCTTTTTTTCTTTTTATGATTTTGGCCGGACATGGTGAATGTTATGTTTTACATGGACCATCATGTTATAGAATCATGGATGCTGGCAATGCGAGTTAGGACTGTATGCATACCCTAAAATGTGATTTACAAGCGTCCCAAAAACTTAAAGCCACTGGAAACTTGGTAAAGCAACAGCTCGTAGGCAAACTCAAGCATAGGGTTCCTTACCTTGAAAGGGTACCATGCTAGTAGTAGATCGATTTCAAGATATGGTTCATTAAGAATGAATCGCGAAATGCTTGGTTCTTAGTTCTTACATATAATTTCTTTTTCACTTTACCAAAATAAAGGGGAAAAAAATCTATGGTTTTGCCCAGCCGTATTTAAAAATTAAGAACTCCTCTCGCATAAGAAAAGATAAGTACTAGTTTGTTTTGTCAGATTTTTTGAAATTCAACCCATAATTTAGTTAATTTGATTGTTTCCAAGATAAAGTTATATTTTATAGTCTTGAAATACTCTAATGTTCTATTTAATTCATTAACAAAACCTATTTTCCTAATGTTGTTGGATGGCCACACATCACCCAAGTCAGCCAGTCTCCTTTAAACAACTCTCAGGCTCTCCAATGTTAAAAGAGTCACAAAGATTAGGTAACCCCCTGGACCAATTGTAGCCCAAGTGGTGGGTGAGCCTCATGGTGGGGCGTGAGTGCCAGTGTTCGAGCCACCCATCCTCCCCTTCCCCTCTAACCCATCGCCGGGCAAAAAAAAAAAAAAATGTCGTATTAAAAATTATTTACAAAATGCGAAGGAAATGTACAAGATGCTATATGATATATACACAACATTATTCTTACTTACATCCTCCCTAAAATGCTCTATTTTATGAAGAATAAATAGGGGGAGGTCAAAGATTGAATGGAAAATGGCCTCCATCGTCGAAGATGGAATGGAAAATGGCCTCCATACTTCACCAACGAGAGCTTTCCTTGTCGTTGAAGCTCAAACAGCATCATCAATGATGAGCCTTTTTTGCCGTTGAAGCTCATACAGCATGAGGAGTGCCGCAGAGTCGAAAGAACTCTTCTTATCAGCTCTTTGCTCTCCAGTGAGTTCGAAGACACCAGAGTCAGGTATGGTCAACGTGATTTTAGAGGCAAAACTACTAAAACCTTGTCTTTCAGCGCGTCCATTAAATTGTATGGGAGTTCTGTACAAGATGACATCACACAGAGCCCAATTTTAGAAATGAGTGTTGCTAAATTGAAGGGAAGAAATTTCTATAGCTTTACGTATTGAGAGTCAACAAATGTCGAAGCGAATAATTTAGAAATATCAAATTGCAAAAGGAACTTGATTGATGAGTAAGACTTAATGGGGCAAACCTTGATTTGTGTTCTGTTGCATCAAATGTAGGCATTGGCCATTGCTGTCTCTTGCAAAGCTCAAAAAGTGACTTTCGAGGTCCTCCTTTGTTCATGTCAATCGATGCAATAACTGCCAAAAAGGGAAGTTACTTTCATTACACCAAATTATGAAGATATGCTGAGGTTGCTCTATTCAATAATGGAAGAGTACAATTGCACACTGGTACTCATAGCAGCACCCTCATTCTTTAGTAGAGCAATTGGTAAAACAAGAAGAAAAATTCAAAAATAAAAAAAAGGAAAAAGACAATGACGAAGAAATTAACTTGGTCCTTCACTCAATGAGTTCTCAGGAAATATATAATGCAGAGAATATGCCGTTTTTGTACAGGACGGAATGTAATCTACTCACCATCTCCTACAGACCCATAATAAAATCTAGTTCTATAATGTTACATGACAAATCAGCTTGAATACTAAACACACGTAATTATTTTGAGATACTATGGAATATTGTACAAATCCTAAACATATAACTGTTCAATAGATGATTTTATTTTGTCCACTGAGATATCAGATCTGCTTGAAGTTCCATTATGGAAGTATCTAACAAGCAGTATCTAAACTCATGTATCGGTTTATTTTATTATTTAACCTTTAGTATCAAACTGAAGCATGAGAATTAAGATCAGTCTGTACCTGGAATGTTTAGCTTGGGATCACAAGCTTTCCCAGAACTGTCATCGCTGAGGGTAGTAGCTCCGATCAGCTTTGAGTGCAACTCAGTGGTAGTTTTCTTTTGCCTTTTGTTGCATATCGTCTCTGTTTGGCCACAATCAGTATTACTCGAGTCTGGGAAAGACGGAACACCAACATTATCAGGGCCCTGTTTTCTCCTCTTTGCATATGATATTCCTCTATTCTGTTTCAGATTTTCAAAACAAGAATTACAACATTAGAATAGTATGACGGATGAAAAGTTGACATGAAGATGGGATATGCAGCTTCTTTAGTCAACAAACAATACTAGTTAATAGCCAAAAATTCTCTATTCTTTGGCATCTTTGCTATGTTTCATGAACAAGCAAAGCATCAAAGACATACAGCCATCATGAAACTGGAGCTAAGTTGTTAGTTCATCATACTTCACAAGAAGCATTAAACACATGCAATTATGTTGGGATATTCGAAATTAGTGTGTAATTAGCGCACAGGGAATTTTTTAAATGTTCCTTATTCAATAATATAAATAGATTGGGCATAGAGATGTCAGATATACTCTTAAACCCTGTTCTTGATGTCAGATATACTCTTAAACCCTGTTCTTACTTATCTCTTTTCCTCTCGTTCTCTAATGCATCTCAAACCCTAATTTTGAAGCCCAGTATCAATACATGTTATATTTCAACTAATTTTAAGAAGGAAATATTTTAGTTTATTTATTAATTTCATTACAAGAAGGAAAATATCTAAGTTTATTTGTTAATTTACTTATTCGTTATGTTTGGCTAAGCTCATTAAATCTCCAAGTAATTTTCTCATCAAAAAAATCACCACAAAGAGAGGGGATACCAGAAAAACATGAAACAGGATTTTTTTTTTACAAAAACAACTGCAAGTAATCTATTTTTTAAAAAACATAAATAAAAAAAATATTTCTGCAAGTAATATTGGTCTCATGATTTTTTATTTTTATTATTTTTAAATAAGATAACATTAGTAGAAGTGCAGAAAGAAATTTTTTTGGTAGCATATAAGATATATAGAGTCTGAAATGGTTCCTGAGACATAAAGTGATTCTGAGTGATAGCTAAATCATTTTGCTAAAACATGAAAAAAATAGAAAGACCTTGAAAGACCAATCGAATAATCTAGTATTTTATCTTACATGATGTTTTCATTGTCACCTTTGACAGTGATGCAATTCTAGAAAAGATTAATTGAAAAAAACAACAGAATGCAGGCATTTAGAGGAGCACTAACAAACCTCCAGGTCCTTCAACAAATGAAGAGCCGCTTGTCCCTTTGCAACTTTTCTATTCTGCCCAAATCCCTCACCAACCAGAAGAACATCTTTCAACTGTACACTCAGCTCAGCACGCACCATTTTTCCCTTTTCAATACAATTTTCTTTTATGAAGTACCCAAGAGAATCACATAGTTCAATCAGTTCCCGTAGAGGAGGCAGTTCAAGCTTGTCTGGTGTCGCAATTGGAGGTAATATGGGTTTGAATATTCTCCACACTTCATCCAGATTAAGCTTGGTGTCAATTAGTATTGCCCCTGCAATACTCTCTACCACGTCTGCAAGAACCTGTAGCAGAAGAAGGGATGAGCAAACTGATTCTTGTAAATACGAACATGCAAGAAACGAAACCACAAAGCAGCAAGTACAAAGAAGTGGAAGAACAAACATCTCAGTAGCTAGAGTTAAGCCTGTTCTTAAATTGATAATCTATAGAAAAGTAAATATAAAGTAGGGTAAAGTGCATAAAACCCCACCTGAACTATTTCCTCTCTCAAGAAAGTTAAGAAACCCCCTTGACCTATTATTTAGACAGTTAACCCCCTAAACTATTCCATTTTTTACAAAATTCCCAATGCTGTTAAACTTCCGGATAATTCAGCTCTTCAAATCACGAGATGAAGCCAACTTTTTTAAAAAGACATTATTGCCCTTTTGTCACAATTTATCAACCAGTAAATTGTGACGAGTGCTTTAGAGAGAGAAAGATGTAAGAGAAATAAAGATGCAGTTGATTTCTCATCTTAACCACCATAGAACCAACAGCCGCCTCTGGAGGTCGCCCCCATTGTCGCTGCAGCCGCAGTGGGTGGCGATGCAGTATGTTGTAGCAACAATAGTAATATATAGCACCAGATAAATGCCGCTGCTGCATTACTCGCCGGACAGCATGCCGTACCACCTCCACCTTCAATATCAAGCTCGACAATAACATCGGCATCAGGGATCTCATGACCACAAATGATCTGGGTCAACTACCTCCACAATTGGATGGATAAGAATTACCACTATAACTGGTTTGCTTCACCAGCGAGATATACTATCAGTCCTTACCTTTTCAATTTGTATATATACACATCATATATACATAGATAATAGTATATATTGTGGTACAGAAGATTAATAACCCATCATATAAATATGTATAAATATAATCTGTAATATGAAACATATATTAGAGTTTAATTTTCTTTGAACTAGCTAGTTGAGTTGTCACAATCCCATTGGACAAGAATTCACATCGGAAATTTCTGTTGCTATAAGGGGGAAATTGTGAAACAGCGTCATTTATATAATGGGTAAAAATGTAATTTCAAATTTCCGTTAATGGGGCAGTTGTAGTTCAAGGGGGGTTTATGGACTTTACCCTATAAAGTACAACAGATACAATGTTCACCTCTGTGTTGAAAAATTAAAATGGGCCAGCGTAAGAACTTACCTTTGAACCTTTTGTGCCTTGGAGTGACTTGGTGGTGCTATGAGAACCAGAAAGAGACTTCACGTAATCAGTTATTTGACTTAAAAGAACTCCAGAGCAAATTTGAAGATGCTGATAAAGGTCTCGTCTCACAGCAGCAGCCGCAAAACTTTCATTGTTAACAGAGGCTGAACGCAAGTCTGTCAACTCCCCTGGATCAATATCTGTGTGGCTTTGGTAGAGATGCCATGTGATAAGTATGTCCAAAACAGAATCGCCAAGAAATTCAAGTCTCTGTCAAAAAATCATGAAAAAAGAAAAGAGCTACATAATATGGAACCTTGTTTTAAAATTGTATGCAGTCAGAAGAATACTATGCACTCAAATCTAGTCATTTGCTTAAATATGTCAAAATAAAGTTCAGCTTTATAAAGGAAAGTAATATATCTAGTATCTCCAGGAATCATTTTGCATGTTGTTATAGAAATATTTAACTGCCTATAGCGCAAAGCGAGAATCAGGACAGGAGAAAGTGCAAGAGCGCAAAAGTATGGAGTAACTTAATGCCTAAATGAATTATAGTAACTACAGAATACAAGTATAATATATACATGTATATCAACACACACACACAAATATATTAGTGTAATTCATAGCATAAGAATTTTTCTATACCAGTATAGCTTATCAAAAAAATATGTATACCAGTATAGGTCAAGCGATAAAATAACTGATGTACCATTGAGGTATGCGTGCTCTAACAGTCGGAAGGCCGTCCAAGACTTGGCAGGTCATAGTTTCAAGTTCACATACATATTTCAAAAAAAAATTATTACGTTTAGGTGATTTTCAGGCTGGCAAGTAATGGATACACTATTTACCCACAATTTCCAAGTCAAGGAAAATGTTCAAAATTCAATGGAATACCAATGATTCATGATCCCAAGATGAATGACTGACTAATTGGTGATGACTAATACAAGGACTGGCAATGCATCCACGTTCAACTAATAAATCCAGAATCAGAGAAGGAGCATAATCCACCCAAGCGATGTATCCGCACTCAATTAATAAATCCAGACTCAGAGAAGGAGCACAACCCACCCAGGCGCTCTAGCTGGCCTAAGTAAACGCTCTCAAAATCTTTTACTGGAAAAGTTTGTTTTAAGTTACGCCAATTGCTAGGTTCTGAACTTAGACTGTTCTGTTTCTTTCTTTATTGCTCAAGACCCTTAATTAGCAGTACTAAAATGAAAATATAGAAATATAAAATTCATAAGGAACTTCCATTACTACCTGGTAACAGTAGTCAATCCCTAATTCTTGCTCAGTTGAATGTGTTATGGCCTCCAGTAAGAGACCTTTGACAGAGAAATTATATGCAAGCTTTGCCTCTAGAGTTTCAATCTCATTAGCCCTTGGGATGTAAGAGTGGAGAGAAGCACTTTTAATAGCTTCATCTACAAGTGAGGGGTCAAGTTCAGCATCAACACCAAGCCACTTCATCAATTGAAGGGCTGCAACCAAGCCACCACCAACATAGTAAGCTCCTATTAGTGCCTCAACACAATCAGATATGCTTTTTGAACCCATCCACCTATGACCTTTATCACAGCACTTCCCAACCATAACTTTCGGGTCTTCAGTGAGAAATTTGCTGTCCAAAGGAACTTCCAACGTATCCACCCCACATGAACAAGGACAAGGAAATATTGAACGCTGTCCTGGAGCAATCCAACGACGGGGTTCAAAAGCAGAGTCTCGTATGTAACCCTGTCAACAAAAAATGCAAAACACAATAATTTAAAGACAAAATACAGAATGCTTTAAACAATCCACAGATGCACAAGAAAATAGAATGCACTCCAAAGGCGTGTAAAAGTTGGTTTGCCAAAGATTGTAAGCTGGTAAATTTTACAACAATTATTGTGCACAGATAATAATGTGATATTCTCTTGCAAAGTTTTGGAAAAATGAGATATTTCTAGATCTGTGGTTTTCAAAAGAAAGGAAAGGAACAGCTAAATATTATTAAACAAGTAATTCTTTCTAATACTATTTCTAAGATATGATTATTTATTTTGATGATATGAAAGATTTGATTTCATCAGTGGGTAATCTAACTGGTCATGAAACCAAATTCAACCATAATCTCTCACCAACGTCACCCATACTCATGTCACTCTTACTCTATGTGTGTATATACACACATACACAACTGAACTCAATATCTCAATCCATCTCAATCGTTCAAGTTCAATCTTGCATTATTCTTGTTGTAAATAATAAAATATAAGTGAAGAGATAAATGAAACAAGAAGAACACAAAGATATGACGTGGTTCAGCTACTAGGGCCTACATCCACGGCGCAAAGAGCTCGAAGGGCTACATCACTCTTATAATATTCTCTTTTTTCATACACAATAGAATGGTGGAGGCTCCTCTATATAGGAGAAGAAATGATGAGAATGGAAAGAGATAGAAAATAGGAAACAAGGAGGAATTTTCTCCACTGATTCCTCTAGCAACAGTAAATCTGCAATAATAGGAAACAACATCAATTAGTCAAGGATTTTCCTCCACTGATTCCTCCATTAAATCTTCAATAATTCTAAATCTATGTCCCCATATTCTCCATCACTGCCAACTGCTGCTATCCAAGCCCCGAAACTATGTCATCAGCAACCACCATCACCTTGGTCTCTGAAAACCAAATACCACTTCCTAAACCAGTAGCAACGCTCATGTCACTCTTACTGCATGTGTGTATCTAGACACATACGTATAATTCCAAATTCCATTACCAATTAATAAGAGGTCCAATCTCTAATTAGTACATACACACGCACACCTCATATACAGGAACATATATCTACCCTCTCGAACTTTTTTTTTACCTTGCAACCAGTCAAATGAAACTCGTGAGCACTTATTTATTTATTTTTCCTAGTTGGTACACACACACACCCCTCCAAGGAATTGTTTGCACCTAGCAGGAATCGATCCTAAGACATGATGCTTCATGAAGCACCAGGGCCCAAGTATTTTCCAACTAGGCTAACCCCTTGGGGTTCATTTACTTGCTACTATTCCTCTAGTATGCTAGATCTATATGTTCCTGGATAAGAGGTCCAATCTGGTATACAGTTTTGGATAAATTGAACTCATCTATTTTCCCTTCAACTTGGTCTAAGATCACATGAGATCATTGATTATACTTCTTCGTATTGGAACAGCAATGAGCTTAACCAAAAGGTCAGGAATCTCTCTTTTGCTGCCTCTGTTGTCTATATTTTGGGAAAAAGAAAAAATAAAATAAAAACAAAAACAAAGGAACTCAAGATATTACTCAGCTGTTCGAAGGAAGGTTTCTTATCTTTCCATCTAAAGAGTCCCAGGATAAGAGATTTATTGCCTGAAGATGGTGTCATCCATATTAAGTCATTTCTCTTCTTTGAGTTTTAACTGTCTCTAGTTTACTGGATTCAGATACTCGAGAATTTAGATGGCATTATCCACATTGGTTGCTTGTTATGGTGCTTTCTCTTCATTCTAGAGCTCCTCTTTAGACTTTAAATTGGGCTTGCCAGGGTCACTTCTCCAAAAACCCAACCTATGGCCTGGGCCTGGAAGTAGTCAACCAACAGTTTGCTTAGCTCAAGCTATTAGTTTGTTTGTGACCTTGTATTTTCCTGGGGTATGCCTTGCCCTTGTGTTTTATACAGGTTTCTTTCTCTAAGATATTCTGACTGAAATTTCCATGCTATCTTCACTGAAATCTAATATTTTGACTACTATTGCCTGAAAATAGTGTGTGGAAGGATCTATATGGCGGTCATCCGTGTGTATTCGATAGGGGCTTTTACATTGAGTAAAGATCAAAGCAGAAGATGCTGGGAAGGTAGTGGAAACCACCACAGCCATATGCACAGACACAGCCACCGTATCCAATACCAAATGATGTACCAAGCGATGATGATCAAGATGTACCTTCGCGTTATGCAGTTTCAAGTGATGAATGTGATTTACCACAGCCATATCCATAGACCCAAAAAAAAAACAATAAACATAACTACATAAACCTAACTTGTAAAAATTCTTAATTCTATTTGGCTTCCCCCCTTCTAGTGGTACCATACCTGAGAGTTGGAATATAACCCTTACCAACTATTGGAGACGAGGAAAAGCTAAATACAATGAAGAATTCCTATAAATTAGGGCTACATAATTATGTTTATGGTTATATTAGTAGTGTTTGAATTTTAGGATTATTTTGGTATTTTCACGGTTTTAGGATTAATTAGGGTTTACTAAATATTGTGCATATATAAAGGCCAATATTTAAGCAAACAATTCAAATTTTGATTATTTAAATATTATCGCGAATTTGAGAATTCTCTCCGTGTCTACTTCTCCCTCATCATTCTTACTCTTCTCAATCCATCTAACCTATTTTTTCAATCTGTCTTCTCATCTCTTACTTTCATTCTAGTTCTAAATCTGTATTAGAACAAGCCTCCCTGTCCTACATCAGTTTAAGACGAATAGTGTTGTTTTAATACAGATCTATAACCAAGACGAAAGAAGGGGATGAGAATGAGAGGAGAAGAGACTAGGAGGAGGAAGCAAAGGGGGTGTAGGGATGGCAATGGGGCGGGTTTCCCATTCCCCATCCCCGCCCCCGTTTAATTTTGGTACCCCTGAAACCGCCCCACCGCCCCATAACCGATTATATTTTTAGGGCAAATCATGTTAGCCTCCCCAGTTGCCTCCATCTCTATTCTCGTTCTCAACTCTAAACTTGCCCTCTCTCTCTCTCTCTCTGCAACTGCAAACTACAAAATCTACAAGCAGCAGAAGGTCAAAACCCATATATTTTAGTTTATCTATCTGTCTGCAAGAATCAAAAGTTCAAAACCCATACTGGCATATCATTACAGATTGTTCAAGAATCAAAAAATCAAAACTCTGAACTTGCCCTCTCTCTCTCTGCAACTGCAAACTACAAAATCTACACTCTCCAACGACTCATCCGGATCTGGTCTGACTCGATCCAATCCCGACTCACCCACCAACTCGTCGCCTCCCAAACTCACCCAACAGCCTCCAGATTCACAGTCAAACCAACCAAGAAGTTTGGACATCAGAATTCCTAGCTTCTTCAGGTGTCCAATCTCACTGGACGTCATGAAATCCCCTGTGACTCTCCACAACGGAGTCACCTACGACCGCTCCAGCATCCAACACTGGCTCGACGACGGCAAACTCACCCAACAGCCTCCAGACCTCGTCCCCAACCACACTCTCCAACGACTCATCTGGATCTGGTCTGACTCAATAGCAAAATGAAATGGTGGATGTATTCAATGACGGGTTTGAGATAGAGCTCAGAGACAGAGACATGGCTGCGCCTCAATAGCAGCGAAATGAAAGTGATGTCTAAAACTGAAGTGTAGGGTTTCCAATATATATATATAGTGAAGGTTAATTTGGTAAATATATTAACATGGTAGGGTAAAGTAGTAATTTAACATATTAAACGGGGCGGTTATGGGGCGGGGATCTTAGTCACCCACCCCCGCCCCGCAACCGGCCGGTTTTTTTTTTTTTAACCCCCATCCCCACCCCATTTAAGTAAACGGTTCTCCAAACCCGCTTTAAATGGGGCGGGGGCGGGGCAGTTCACCATCGGGTTGGGGATTTTTGCCACCCCTATCAATGCGGGTGAGAAGACAAATTGAATCAGATAGGCTGGATAGACTGAAGGGTTGAGAAGAGAAAGAGATACAGAGAGAATTCTCAAATCACAATAATACTCCATCAATCATTTCTGAATTGCTTAGTCACATAGAAGCCTTTATATAGGCAAAATCATTACCAAACCCTAAAAACCTAAAAATAGGAAAAAAAGAAAATAAACCTAAAACTAAAATTACCAAAAATAATAATAGGCATAATTAAGAAAAATCATAATTTACATCAAGCCATAATTATATTTATCTTTTCCCCTTCTCCAATAATAAGTGTGGGTTATATGTGGTTCTAGCTCTTAGGTCATGCCTTGGTCTCCATCAATTTCGTTCTCCATCAGGGGGTGCTTGTGGGTTTGAAGTCAACAGGAGATCATTTTAGGATCAAATTGGGCTGCGGCTTACAGATTTGAGAAGACAAGTTGGTGAGAATTCTAGCCCAGAACAAGAAGAGGTGGTGTCTGTCTGTTTATAATATCATCCTTTAATTAATTAAAATTTAGTCAACTGTCAGTTGATTAACAATTTGGACTAAAACTAGGATTGATCCCTAAATAATATTTGAGAAGGGACCAATATCAAAACCCATGTAAAATTGTGAGACTTAAAAATCATGGGGAGAAAAAGAAAAACTCAAACTTTTATACTAGAAAATCTAGCAGTAAGTTAACGATGAGAATAAAAGGTCGGGTTTGATGAAAGATCTGCCTGTCAAAATAGTATAATTATTAGACATAATAAGAAGTAACCAGTCCAACGGGACTACACAGCTGCTAGCAAATAACACATCTAATACCTGTAAATGGCGATCAATTCCCAATTTATATAGGGTTGAGTTACAGACAGCCCATGAGCGCTGTGCCGATAATTGTCCTTCATGTTTCTTGGGATATTTTAGAAAGAGGTGGCAGCTAACGGCATACTTCAACACAGAATCTCCAAGCAACTCTAAACGCTCCATTGAAAAGCTTTCACTACATGTAAGAGTTGTGATGGCTTCCAAAATCTAATCACAAAATAAATTAAACAGATTCAGAATAGTAAAAAGGTATTCAAAAGAAAATGTATGTAATCAAGTTAGTATTTTCAATCAATGAAACACAAACCAATGAGCTTGATATATGAAAGCTGCTAGAATGGCAAGTAATCTCTTCTCTAAGCTGGCTGGCCAACATCAGAGACTCCAGCCGATTCATTAAGGAAGGTAGCAAGTAAAATGATTTTAAAACATCTGTAGGTACATCACAACCGACAAGAAGCTCAGGTGGCATGTGAGCATATTGCCGTTCCTTCTCAACAACCATTTTATCACTACCTGCAATTTTTAAAAATAAAAAAGCATTACAACATGTCAAGAAAAAGTGTCATCTGTCTGCATATCCCTTGGTTTACTTTCTGGAAGGTTCGAATCAACATTGAAGCTATAAGTATAGATTGAAGCGGGAGCCAAAAGATCACATCCAAATGTTACCTCAAACTTCATCAATTACACAATATAAAGAAGGTAAATGACTCAAGAAACCATGTGAATTGGAGTTATTAATTAATTCAAAAAGATCTAGAAAGTCCTAATTGAACTGGAAAATTTGGTTAAGATTGGCTTAGACTAAATCAGGAACTTGAATTCATTTAAAACTAATTATCAATTAGTTTGAAAATAATTATAAAGTTCAAAATTGAAAATTATTTAATTAGGAATGAATTTAGAAAACTTGGATTTTGAGTTTAAGTTGAAAACCAATTTACTGCAGAAGAATGAGTGATTGTTTAGTAATATACTTAAGGGTAGGATTGGCACCATAGCGCTGATTCATCACGGTACACCAAGTCCCAAACTTGACTAAGAAGGGGTTAATATGTCTTGAAAACTCTAAAGAACTACAACTTTCGCGCCGGGGGGTGGGTGGGGTTGTGGTTGGTTGTTGGTTAAAACACATAAGCTTGAATATTAATATTCATACATAAGAACACCAAGAATTACATGGAAAGCCCTATAGTAAAAAACCACAAGACCCAAGTCCTAGTTGACCTAACACTTCTTTGATAAGAAATTGCCTCAACTATACAGTCAATAATATGGCAAACAAGCTGTGGGACAAAGAAGGGCTTAAGGAGGTGTTACGTTATGATAGAGACTTCTATTTCTTCAAATTTCACAGCAGAAAAAAATATATAAATAAATAAAACTGATCCAGGAAGAAGGGCTTTGGCATTTTGTTGATATGCTGCTAACATTGAATAAATGGCACAAAGGCATGAAATTCCTGAAGTTAAAATGGAAATGGTACCTACTCGGATCAAAGTTCTCACTATTACTTTGGAATGCTGGGGTGAGGGAAAATTAAACTTCCCACGCATCCCGTCTATATAGATTCACTCTTAGAAAGCAAGAAAAGACACAGGTTTGTGCAAATATGTGTAGAGATGAAGCAGGTTAAGACCTAGTGGAAGACATCTGAATCAATGAAGATTGTATTATTAAAATAGTCAAATACCAATGGAAACCTTTATCTTGTGCTACTACCAGTCCCTCTGAAATTCCCCCTAAAGGGCTTTCTTTTGGGTTGGGGGTAGGGGGGTGAACATGAAAACAGAGATATTGAGAATAATCAGGAGCAGGTGAAAAGGGAAAGCTACTGTCAGTTCTTCTATGAATTTTAGAGTTAATTCTGAATCTGGTGACTTGAAAACCGCTGAAACTTTTGCTAAAAAAGGTCTTTCATTTGCTAAACAATGAAAGAGACCCAATAAATGCATGCCTCTTTAAAAAAATAACAGAATAAAAAAAACACTATAATACCTCTTAGTCCTCTTCACAAAATTCGCAAACAGTAGGAAGAAAATGTGTATGTGCGAGTACCAACTAGGAAAAAAAAAAATGTGCATGTGCGTGTGTTATACTGTGTTTGAGAGAGAACTTTTCTTATAGCATTTACGAATGAACATTGTCCACAATTTTTCTCACTCAAACACATTTAGAGTTGAAAGAAAACAGGTAAGAGAATGAATTTATATTTTTATATTTTTTATTTTTAAAAAAAGCAACTTGAGAATTGTATTTATAATTAATAATAACAGCAAAGCACAGAAAGATTTCAAAAAAAAGTTCGCTAGTCCAGACCACAAAACTCTGGATTGTGGGGGCAATGTACTCACAAAAATTTATATTATATTAGAGGTTTAGCATGCAAATTACGAACCTTGACTGCTGAAATCCACGAGAAGGTTGTGAGCCTTATGACTTTGCTTTAGTAACAACAAAGGCTGTCCTGGATGCTTCAGTACAATCCCATACCTGATCAGGGATAACATTTTAGTTTAGAAAGTAAAAAGTAGAAAAGCAGAAGGAAGGTATGCAGCAAACAGAAAATTCATATAGTATCAGAATTTGCGAACAGAAAATTCATATAGTATCAGAATTTGCGTACTTTTTGTTGAAGTAATCAGCAAAGGATGAATAACTAGAATCTTTTGCATCAAAATTTCCATCAAAAGGACTTTCAGCAGATGTATTATCAACTGCATTTAGGACAGAGTAAATTCTTCCAGTATGAATGGCCAAGACCACCATCCCTCCAAGGTCGTTTATAGGAACTGATTTATTTGCCAAGTGGATAACATTTGTGCTATTGCAGTCGGTCCAAACTGAATCTGTCTTATCAATTAACGAATTTCTCCGGTCACCATTAGATTGCTCAGTACTTAACCAAGCATTTTTCTTCACAAATTCCACTGCAGAAACACAAGAGTCTATTGCCATCCAGTTAATTGTCCAAGGTTCACGACTTGGAATGTTTAATGACTCCAAGGGTAAAAGCAAATACATGTTTGATGGGTTCCATAAATTCTCTCCCGTCTGAAGTAGAAATTTTCTTCCTTCCCTTGATTGTTTTGATCCAAGGAATAACTTCCCAAATAGCCCATTAAAAAAAAATTCTTGAAAGCATTTTGCTTTCAACACCTGGTTCGAGACAACAGAAAGCAAAAAAGTATAATGAGAAGTATTCAGATGAAAAGCAAGCAAAGTTAATGCAAAATTATTCTTGAACCTGTTCAGCATCCAGATGTATATGCCCAGATGAAGAAACAGAAGCTTTTACAAACTTTGAAACTAAGTAAAGCTCCACATCAGCATTTCCTACGTCATCATCTAGCTTTGACTCAATCAAGAGAACAAAGCTGCAATAATGTTCATCAGCAATATTGCAAGAGAAATCGATTTTGTGGGCTTGAAAAGATGCACCGTCAGGATTGTCTCCCCAAGATCCGTATAGTGCACGCGTGCAGGTCGTCCCATGTAACTCCTTCCTCTTTGTTGTTCCTACAGACAGCATGAGAAACACAAAATGACTTAACAAACGATGAAAACCATTAACAAAGGCAAGTTCAAGACCAAAATTGCAACCTAATCCCACGTTTGGCTATAATCCAAGACGCCAATTACTCAAAAACCTCTGATAATACAGCCTTATGGTTTTCTGAATCCCGAGATAATGGAAAACTTCATGTGAAACAAAATTAATTTGCCAATCAATTAAGCAAGCATGAGCATCAAAGAATAATAGAGGAAGATAATTCAAATCAAGTCGAGACAAATTTCCTAAAGGAACTCTATGAAATAGGACTTTAATATACCAAAGATGCTTCTTGATGACAAAAAGGAATCATGAAATCAGACTATGTTTAACATATATAAGCAATGGGGAACAATGAGCTAGGTTTTAATATCTACGGGGGCTACAAGATCTTGACTAAACCTGCCAAACAAAAGCAGTAAAAGCTACAAAATTCCAAAAAGCTACATCAGTCTGGTCTCCTGAGCCTCACAAGACATGATATTATAGAAAAGAGAGTTGCAGTACAGAAAAGTGAGATGGTGTGGAGAATAAGGATAATATAATTTAAACTTACGACAAACAACAAAACAAGCAGAGTCAACAAATTCATCAACCACCAACAACAAGAAGAAAGAAGAGAACGAAAGAACAGAGACAACAATGAGAAAACATGGAGTAGATAGTGATGCAGAGAGAGATAGAAGCCACCAACGTATTTCCAGGATACCTGAACCAACTTCTCTCCAACATCAGAAATAGGTGAACTGACCAACGCTTCTAATCTATCCCTTGCTGACATGTCAAAGTTCTTTTTATCCAAGAGCGTGGCAAATAAATCACTCAGTTTACAAGGGCATTGAATGTGATCACTCAAGAAATTTAGAGAACCCTAAATCATAAGGTTACAACACCGAAGTATAGTAACTCAAAACCACACAATTCTAACTTCACTAGCAGAATTCAAAAGCAACCAAAACAAGCTAAATCATGCAGGAACTCACATATGCTTCAACTATTACTAATGCCACCAACCATTGATTTTACTGTGTGGAGGACATATAGCCAAATTGTTGGTTTATGTATCTTCAATACACATAAGAAAAATTGTCATAAATATGTGTGCAATTATTGTTATAATAGACACTAGCTAAAATTTTATGGCATTTATTTTAAAAATATTAATACTCTATTGTATACAACAGGGGGAGGTTGACACACAAAGTTTATGCGATGTTCTTAGATCACCTCATGATTGGCAGATATACAAATTGAAGCAAGTATCTTTTATGCACTTTTTCATTACTAAGATCCTAAAAAGAACTAACTGGAGCATAATTTCTATGAAAGATCTCACTTGGAGTCATATGAAGCATGATACATCTGATATGCACTTCAATTGCAAAAATACTCAAAGTACTTCGATTTGGTTCAGATCATACAACACAACTAAAATAAATGAAAAGTAAAATTTCTAAAGAAGGCCAAGGTTTTAAAGAAACAGGCACCACAACATAATCATCTTTGTCACATGTAGGTTTAAAAAAATATGCCCACCTGCACCCAAAATTGATTCTTTGTTCTTTAGAGTAGACTCATTTTCTGTAGGCTTTTCTTTGTAAGGGAGAAGACGATCATCAAGAGCTCCCATCTGATGCAACTTTTTACAAGCCTCCAAACATACAAGCTTTTTTGATAACTTATAATTCCCACTTAAAGGACCAACTATTGTTTGAAAAGCTGCATTAGGAGGTAATGTTAACTTGCACTGATACAACTCTCCTGACAACAAGAACTGAAAACTGGGCTTTTTATTGAAGTACCTAAGTGGAAAAAATTAAATAATTAGGGCTTGAAACCAGATAAATGCTCAAAATCACACTGGTGGGAACAAGAGAAATAAAATAGAGAAGGGACAAACTAGAGAGGGAGGAAGTGCCAAGCAAAGACAGTTATAAAAAAGAAGTTGAATGGAGAAAATATTTTCATACTTATCGCCAGGGAGCTTTTGACAATATTGACGGATGACACTGACACTAGAATCTGCAGTTACCGAAGCTCCAGTTGCATCTACATAATATGAATCTGTTTTCTCAATGTTACACGATTTCAAGATGTAGGCATCAGGGTCTCTATTTATAGCTGTATCTGTCATAGAATACTCGCTCCTAATTATGTCAAACATTTGATCTCTTTGCTTTAAGTTGCCCCTGCAGAAATATGTACGGTAAGAATACAGAATGTAAATTACTCTTGAGAAAACAAATGTTGAGAACACATGGCAAGCATTTAAGAAGAAAAAAACAAAAATAAAAAAATAAAACAAAATTGTATTCACCTCTCAAGCATCAATACAAATCTGGAGTCATTTTGGCGAGCTCGTCCCCGTGATTGAACATAACTACGAACCGTCTTTGGCAGGTCAAAACGTATAACAGAAGTACAATTTGGGACATGAATTCCCTCTTCAATCACATCTGTAGCAAATAGTAGGTTGACCTAAAATGGAATGTTATAAAAATTAGTGAGAACTATATGGAACAGCTGCAAAACTTAATGCAAATATACAAAACAATGATTCAGACACCTTCCCGGAGCGGAATGACTCCAATGTTTCTTTTTGCACTTTTGGTGCCAGCCCATCAACTGATGAATTACTCCCAGTTAAATAAGAAACTGTGAAATGGGGTAAGTATGCAGTTTTCTTCATGACTCTTTCAATAACTTTAGCTGTTATAATTCTTTCAACGAAAATGAGACACAGCACTTGCCTAGCTCCTCTGCAACCAAAAAAGAGAGGGTAAGTTATAACTGTTACAATAGTAAAAAGTGGAATAGCCAGATAGCAAGAGTTGCATTACCCATATGATTGAAAAATTTGAAGGAGTTCATGTAATTTTGAAGATATAAATCCAGTAGCAACTGTTTTTGAAACATCAGATCCAACATCCAAAAGATTTTCATGGCCTGAGAGATAACAACATTAAGAAACTGGTACGAGTGAATAACTCAAACTTAAAAGGAGAATTCCAGTCCCCACATATCGAATTACACAAATATTTAGCATCATCAAGGCAAGATGGCCATAGAGTCATAGATAAATGCATCAAGCATATAAACCCATAACTACACTGTTTCAGATCTTTTTCCTTCTCGACTATGAATTATACTATCAAGCAAAAAAAAAGATCACAACTCGAACATTTTTTATATCAGCAAGACTGTAAACAGTATAACAATGACATCAGCAAAAGAAATTCCCACAATATAAAAGCTCAAATGATTCCATAACACGTATAGAAACATAAAGGATATAACTCCGAACAAAATAAAATAATTCGCAAAATTCATTAATTTGAAATTCAGACAATTAAAAAAAAGAGTTTTTAAAAAAATGGTGGTAATTGTTTTACATTATAGGTAAAACAAGCAGGAATATACATCAAAACACCGTGCACACAAAAGAAATGTGTTTTGTATCTCCTGAACCAAGCCTTTATCAATATCACTTGAGTTATTTTCAGAGTATAAACTTCTCTTCAGGCTTTTCCCAGATTTCCCTTTAGAAATCTAGGCTCCGACGGCGCTTGGAGTATTTCTAGTCTTCCTTACTACTGTAAGAAGACACGTTTTTTTTTTTTTTTTTCTTCTCTCTGCTTGCTTCAGGTCCCCAATAATCCATTAAACTGAGTACTGGTATTACTGTATATAGGGAAAATAAAATATAGCAACAAAGATAGCTAGCAAGAAACAAATAGTATAGATTTTGATAAATTTTGTAAAAGTAGATAAAGATAAAAAGCTGCCAAATAGCATACCATATGGGCCATATGGCAATGATCCACCAACAATAGACAGCACTTCTTCAAGATAATATTTGTACTGTAAAGAACCTCTTTTATGAAATTCACATTCTTCTTTGGCATTGGGAACTTTCTCTATACAAACTTTAACAGCCTAAGGAAGAAGAAAACATACACGAACGTCAAAATCGAAGCCAAAAGAGAAGACCAAAAGTATTTCAACATAAATGGAGCTATGTAAGACAGGAAATTATTGAATCAGGGAATATTATGATAAGATCATAAGAAATAAGTGTTATAAACAGAAAACGGAACATCAATATAGACAAAGCATACCAACAAGGAAGAACCTAAGAAAGATCTCTGGAATTTCCTTTAATGTCTCCCAAGAAGCATTTAGACAAAAGTTTAGAAAAGTTGACCAAAGCCCTTTTTTTACTACCCTGGCAAGAAACACTCACACACACCCACTTGCCCCTATAGGGACTTGAAACCTAGACCTTCTACTTTGGAAGGCGAGAAAGTACCACTAGGCTTTATTAGATGAATTTGGTGTTTGGTAATAAAACTGATGCCTAAAAAAATCTTGCTCCTGTAAATGATCATAAAACCATCAGTTTTGCCACTCACAGATTAGAATCTTTCACCATTATATTTATAGACTACTTTTACTGATCAGAAATAAGAAGAGAAAATGATAAATTACTTAATGAAATAACTTTTATCTAGACGGGCTATTTCATAATTCTTTTCATATATGTCATTTTTAAGGCTATTAATGTTGAATAGTAGAATTACTTGTATGAAAAAGAAAAAATAAAAAATAAAAAATAAGATTATAAAACCTAGGTTATCAACAGCAATTCATATTTCCTCCTATTTTCACTTACATCTCCTCTTCTACAGTAGAAGTTATTACACATATAACCATACCTCAAAAGCACATAAAAGACCAAGATTTTCAAGGCAATACAAAATCTTTGCATTGTCATTGGAAAACCGCTTTCTAAGTGTCTTATAGTTATCATCCATGTCCATACAGTGACACGGCAGTGAATCTTCCAACTTGAGCAACAAAGCATCAAACTGTTCATGCCAAAAAAAAAAAAGGGATTAGAAAAATAACCTGTCAAATATATATCAGATATTGTGTGCACAGATTCAACAAATACATACATATATACATATATAAAAAAATGCATGTATTATATGCATGCATGTATATATGCATGATTACGTGTGTCTGTATGTGTGCGCTTAGGAATACCTTCACCAACGAATGTTCCAACTTTGCTTTCAAAACCAGATCAGAATACACTGCTTGGTCATAAAATCGACAAGTTTCTTTTGCTGAGGGGACGAATTCTTCCAGTTCTGTTTTATCCTCAATCGTATAAATCTGCATAATTTCATAACAAAACGCTTATCAATCAGCATACATGTGTGATACTTATGATCAATGTAGCCTTAATTTTACAACATTAATTTCTCAATATACTAGAATTTACAGATGTATAAGCAACCTGCGAATCCAAGATGCTTTCAAGTTCGGATATTTGTTCCTCACAATCCATGATGGATGAGACACCTAATGTCCAAAGGCATACTAAAAGTTAAAACATGCATAAAATTATCTATTATTTAGCACCATGAAAATTGAAAACTAAAATATAAATATATAGTGAATCAAACACTGAGAAAATTGAAATAACAATGTGTCTTAAAATTAATAAAAAGGGAAAAGGAAACAAAATATTCAAACATCAAGCAACTTCTCAGTAGATAAAAATTCAAATATAAAAGCCTGGGTGTGGCCTGGCTTTATCTCCCTATTATAACAACCTGGGTTTAGCACTCACAAACCAACGAGCCATTACAATACATGAAAACGTTAACATATATATGAATCCCTTATAATCTAGTCCAACACTTTTTCTGAAATTAGGCCTAAACTCTTATGTTTGAGCAGAAACATAGAAACATCATTATAATGTGTAATGGTGCAGCACTGTAACGACCCACTCCACCACATGATATGATATTGTCCGCTTTGGGCCCGAGCTCGCACAGTTTTGTTCTTGAGCTTTACCCCCAAAAGGTCTCGTACCAATTGGAAATAACACCACCACATATAAGCACTTCACATTTCCCTTACCCAGAGGAAGTGGGATTATGTACCTGTAGATCGCCCAGTGTAGTAGTCTGCTAGTGCCTCGCACCCAACCACAAGGTTGCCACGATCACCCCCCTTGGGGCCCAATGTCCTTGTTGGCCACACTTCCAGCTGGTCAGGTTTTGAGACTATTTGTAACAACCCACTTCACCACATGATATGATATTATCCGCCTTGGGCCTGAGCCCGCACGGTTTTGTTCTTGGGCTTTACCCCAAAAGGCCTCATACCAATTGGAGATAACACCACCACATATAAGCACTTCACCTTTCCCTTACCCAGGTGATGTGGGATTGTGCACCTGCAGCTCGCCCAGTGTGGTAACCTGCCACTACCTCGCACCTGCCCACAAGGTTGCCGCAAGCACACAAGATACCAAATTGATGCAAAATCAGTAGAGAAGGGAGAAAAGAAAAAGAAGAGAAGATTAGGGAAGAAAAAGAAGAAATTAGAAGGAAGAAGCTCTCTCAATGTTGATTTTACTAAAAATTGTCAAACTCAATGTACAAAGCCTATATATATATATGCACTAAAATAAAGCACAATTTCCAAAAATAAAATCCTAAAGAAATAAGGAGAATCTCAAATAATAAAAGATATGATAAATTTGATGCGGTAAGGACCACGACCCTAGATTATGATAAAGAGACAGATCAAAGTCCGTAATTTAGACCTAGAGGGGAGTGAACAGGTCTTGACGGTAATTTAAACTTACTGAAAATTCAAATCTAAATCAAACCCAAAGGCTACGTTTGGTACGCGGGAATGAAATGGAATGGGAATGGAATGCAAGTACAAATTGAATGAGAATGGGAAAGGAATGGTATGTCATTTTCACTCTACTGTTTGGTTCTGAAATGAAATGATGCAGGAATAAAATGATTATTACAATTCTAGTGTTTGGTTAATGGAATGAATTTTCTTCAAAATACCTTCCAGAAAATCAACCCAAAAAGGAAAAGGAAAAGGAAAAAGATGAGAAATGCTAGTTGTATTAAATATATATACCTAATTCACTTATCAAATCAAATATTATCAAAACCCGAAATAGAAAAAAGAAAAATGATAAGAATTGCTCTATAGTTCATGAATCCTCCAGGATCTGTGATGATTGGTCTTTGAGTTTTCAGCAATACCTTCAAAATTCCGTAATTGCAACCTCTTAATCTTCTTACAACTCCTACAAAGCCAATTCAGACAGTTATCACCAGCTTAGAGTCCCAGATAGAGAAAGAGACTCTAATGGCAACACAAAGTTGAAATTTCTTCTGATCATTTCATATCTATGTTCTTCTTCAGAATCAAATTCATTGGAACTGTTAGCAAATATGATAGCCACAATTTATGGAATGACTTACCATATTAGCAAAGATTTGATTATGCTATAGAATATGCTATGATTTAATTTAGATTTGATTTAATTTCCATTCTTGTAATATGAGCATGTGCTCTTTATATCTATAAATACTAGAGTCGTGAATGAGTGATTAATCTCATTTAAGCCTTTACACAATTCTCTCCTTCTTCTTCTTCTTTTTATATTTCTTCTTGGTATCAGAGCCAGGGTGGTCCGACTGCAATAAGGGCATTGCGAGTTCAGCACCACCCATTCGGGAATGGTCTGAGGTGAAATCGCCCATATGGGAGGTGTCGGGTAGGCAGGGTAGTCTGACTTCAATAAGGGCGTTGCGAGTTTGGTATCACCCATTCAGAAATGGTCCGAGGAGACATGGTTGTTTCTTTTTTATGGTCTGAGGAGACATTGTTAATTCTTTCATCTACATTGTTTAAAACATATGTATGAAGGGGAATGGTCTAAGGAGACATTGTTAATTCTTCTATCTACATGTTTTAAACATGTGAAGGGAAATGGTTTGAGGAGACATTGTTGGTTGTTTACGATCTGAGGAGACATGATTGATTGTTTATGGTCTGAGGAGACATTGTTAATTGTTTATGGTTTGAGGATAATTTTTGATTTGCTGATCGACACTTCATTTGAGAGAAAATCATCGCTAGTCAGATTTGCACTCTGCAACTTGTAGATTTTGAAGAAGGGTGCTAGCAAGACCGTGTTTGAAGATGCATTGTCCAAGTTGGGCACCAACTTGGAGGGGAGTGTTAGCAAATATGATAGCCACAATTTATGGACTGACTTACCATATTAGCAAAGATTTGATTATGCTATAGAATATGCTGTGATTTAATTTAGATTTGATTTAGTATATTTTCTTGTAATATGAGCATGTGCTTTTTATATCTATAAATACTAGAGCCATGAATGAGTGATTAATCTCATTCGAGCCTTTACACAATTCTCTTCTTCTTCTTTTTATATTTCTTCTGGAACTCAATTCTTTGCCGGTGAAAACAACAAGGTCTTCTAGAGAGAGAAACGAGGTGATCTAGAGAGAGAGAGAGAAAAATAAGGTAGTTTACCTTAAGTAGTTTAAGTAATTGAGCGTGAAAGCCACATGAATCCGAAAAAAATTGGCTCAGGAAGGGATTATGGAGATGATGGAGTCAGGAATTCATTTTGGCCATGATACTATAAGATGGAATCCTAGAATGGCACCTCATATCTTTGCAAAGTGTAAAGGCACTCATATTACATTTTTTTTTTTTCATATTCATATTACCACTTTTACGAATAACTAATTGTACCCTTCCTCTTAAATTATTAATCTTTTCCCAAACTATTTCAAGGACTGTTTGACACTTTATCGTTGTAGGCAAATTCCAAATTTCAGGGACTAGAAAAATCCTACACTTGCATGCACCGTATTAACACCAGAGCACATGGACCAACAACCAAAACTCTAGCATAATGTATATAATAATACGCAAAGTGGAATCCCAACAATTAGCTACTTAGATACTTCCATCTCCCTCTCACCGCGAAAAATGCTCCAAGAGAATTACCCTCAAATTCTCTCACATTAAAGCTTGACAGGTTAGCCATTCCACATCCCCATCCCCATTTAATTTGGTACCACCCATAGCCATTTAAAAAACCACCCCTACACCCCATCCCCGGTCCCAACAGCCCCACCCCATTCAAATCCCTAAATTTCCAAATTTTTGAATCTCAACCTGTAGCCCCTACCACCATTAGGGGTGCCCAAAAAACCGATCAAAGCAGTGAACCAGATCGCACGGTTTGGTCCGTTCTGCTACTGTTCAGTTCAATCCCGATTCCAAAAATAAAGAACCGTTACTTAATGGTTCGGCTCTGGTTTAAGGTTCGGTAGGACCGAACCAAACCACTAACTAAAAAAATTTAATATATATAATTCTCATCTAAGTATCTAATGCTCTCACCCTGTCCTGTTCTCCTATGCTTCCTTTCACTGCTCCCTCCCTCCCTCCCTCCCCCACTCTCTCTCACAACCATCTACAACGACCACACCTCATCCTTTACGCATTAGTGCCTCATGCACAAACTGGGGGACTGTGAGCAAGCAAGGAGATCATTGACAACAATCTAGTGGCTGATGGCGGCAATCTTGGTCCTTACCGATTAGGTGTTGTTGGTGATCACTTTACATTTGATACAAGTGCAATCCCTAATGTTGCAATTTACATTTCATCTTAACTTGCGGATTCTCTTTGAGGAAGTGAGTGTACGAAGATTTTTGCTGTGTTGTTCAAATTGATCAATCAAGATTTGAGGAATTGTTCCAATTATTGCAATTTCAGTATTTCATTGTACAAGATTCGAAAATTCTAAGAACAGGTTTTTATTTCTTTCATTTTGAGTTGAATGGGAAAAAGCTCAAAACCGTGAATAGAACCGAACCAAACCGGTCGTTTTTGGTTCGGTTTTAGAGGATTTCCGATTCTAAAATTTTCGGAACCGTTAGGACTGGTTCGGTTCTAGTTCAGCCTAGAACCAGTCCGAACCGGACCGTGTGAACCCCTAGCCACCATAACACAGAGTTTACTCAAAATCAATCGCTTATACTATTCCTTGAACAAAAACCATACCAAAATGCCCTGTAAAAGGACAAAATGCAGCCAGGTGTGGTCAAGTTGGTAAAGATATGTGTTATGAAATAAGGATCGAATAGGAGTTTATGAGAACAAGAGAAAAATTAATAACAAGAAAATAAATAGGCACACACAAACGAGACAAGGATTTATACGTGGTTCACCCTCACAAATAGGGTTACGTCCACGGGCGATGATGATTCGTATCACTATAAAGAAGAAGATTACAAACTGAAGAACTTTTGGTTCTTCCTCACAATAATCTCTCTTCTCACACCACTCACTCACCAACAAAGAAGACTCACTTAACACTCAAGAAATACCCCAAATAGTATATGGTTTACACAAAGAGAAAAACCCACCCAAAGACAAGCTTTAAGTGTCACCTGAAGATTGCACACACAAAAGGATTTTCTCACACGCACAAAACCAATATACTCTCTTGATCCGAATATTGTCTTACTCTTGGATGCCTCTCGGATGCTTTTCATCGAATGAATGCAAGACTATTTATAACCAAAAATATACTTGGTGTCCAAGTATATTACAAAGCTTCCTTTGGAAGCCAAATAACACTTGTTGCCCAAGAATTTCAAAGCTTCCTTCAGAAGCTAAGAAGGAAGCTTCACCATCACACTTCTTTAGCCAAAAGATTTTTTTGCCATGTCATAAATGAATTTTAGACAAATTTATAACAATATGAAAAACACAGTAATCAGGAGAACTAAATCTCTGGAAGACGTAGCCGGTGAGAACCAAAGTTGACCAAAGGGCAAAAAAATACCCATCCGAGAGACGATGGTCAGATCATCAAAGTTTACAGAAGAAAAAACATTACCAAAGATGGTTATTGTCAGATCTGCTTCGATCTCCTTCACCTCAGTTTGAAGATGGCGATGGCCACAGTTAGATGATTGGAAGACGAATCCAGAACCACTGATCGAAGAGACAAAGACAGCAAGACCACAGATCGCCAACGGAAATCTCTAGAAGGGCCTAAAGGGCGTGCAGCTGAATTGATATAAGGCTACTAGGGTTTTCTTCAGTATATATACTTAGGATATTTCGTTATGTATTATAATATATAGGGGTAAAACAGTAAATTCCTAATATAAACAATGCGGGGTTGGCGACTCTCCCCTGCCCTGAACCCGCGTGGTTTTTTCATTACTAAACCCGTTCCATTTATATAAAAAGGTCCCCAAAACCATCCTAAACAGGGAGGGTACCTACAGGGGGTGGGGTGTTTTGCCATCCCTATCAAGGACTCTTCGATACTTTATAGTTGTAGGCGAATTCCAAATTTCAGGGATTAAAAAAATCCTACACTTGCGTGCACCGTATCAACACCCGAGCCAGTCGGTGACATGGACCAACCACCAAAACTTTGTCATAATGTATATTAATATACACAAAGTGGAATCCGAACAATCAGCTACTTAAATTTACTTCCATCCCTCTCACCACGAAAAATGCTCCTAGAGAATTACCCTCAAAATTTCTCACATTAAAGCTTGATGGGTTAGCCATTTCTCACCTTAGATACCATATATTCCTATCATTAACTCCTTTTTATGAAGCTTTCAACCAGATTTTCATAAACAAGGAATAGAAAATTATTCTATAAAACTCCATAAGAAGAAACTCAATAAAATTAGCTAATTAATACAAAATCGCAACAGAAATTACTGGACAAATATTTTATATCCAGTTTTTATCTAAGATCACTAGTCACCATACGTTTTGATATAATTGTGACCAAAACCAAGTGCAGGTCTCTATTTTCCCTTTCCTCATTTTCTTTTTTCCCCTCTTGTCATTTGCATTGGTCAAATGGTACAACTTCAGAAAGCATCTTACATAGGTAAAGAACGCAAGCAGGATTAAAAGCTCATATCGAAAGTTCAAATTGATATAAAATCAAGGAAGCAGCATTGTTAGTTAAAGCAAATAAATGCACCTCAAAGATATATAGAAAGCACCCACCCGTTCGTTCTAGGCCAGATCCGATACATCTTATTTGAAGTAAATTTGAAAAAGGGTAACAACTAACAATCGTAACAGAGAGAAGAGCAGGAATTGATCGTAGTTATTTTCAAAACTTACCTAAGACAAAAGGTGAGAAACTTACCTTTTCTAGTTACAGGGGACGCAGTCATTCCGAAAACCTTTGGCTTTTCGTTTGATTTGTGATAAAATTCCTTCAAGCGAAACATGATACAATCATTAACATGTTTGATCGTGGCAAGATTGAAAATAATAGTACTAATGAAGGATAGAATTTTTTTTTTTTTGATAAGTATGAAAATGAGTGATGGATTTTCTACTCACAAATGATATTTACCTTCATTATTTTTGTATACGGATGGTTCCCAGTAGCATGATGGCACTCATCAATTATCATTAAGGAAATCATTTCAATACTCAAGAATGCCTTCCTCAAGGCATCCAGTAAAATCTGAGGTGTCATGACTAGAACCTGTAAAATAGGGGGGAAAAGACGTATAAATGCATATTACTATCTAGTTGTAAGCAATGAATAAATTGATAGTGCCAAGCAACGTCTAGGAGTTTAAGGGGAAAAAATCCAATTTTGAGCATGATCCATAAAAGACAGTCTTATGTCTCATCCAGTAAAAGTGCATCAAGAAATATTGATTTTTTTTTTTTTGAAGGGTAAGAGAGATTGATATATTTAATATCAATTACCTACACTTTCTTCTCAAACTCATACTTTTGACAGTAAATGAAAAAAGAGAGAAACATTAACCAACTCTAGTAAGAAAAGGAGAATAACTTTGTAGTTTTAGAACACTATTAAATTCCTTCCTGAAATAACCTTCTGTCCATTAGTCTTGCCAACAAAATTTCAAACTAATAAATATACCACCATCGATTCCTTATCCAAGAGTGCCATATTTATTAAGTAACGATTCATAGATGAGAATTGAAAGTTGAAGTAGTAAAGAGGAGATTCTCAGAAGTAAGTAGTCTAGCTCCCTAACAAGCTCGATTTAAGTAATCATCTTTAATTCGTATATTGTAAAATGAAACTATCAACGAAAACAGTCAAAATGGGAGAAAGTATTTAAATCCCAATTTAGATCTTCATCGAAAAAGAAAATATCAAGTTGTTTACACCCCAGCTTCCATGCAAGTCTTATGTCGACTTGAAAAGTCTAGGCTGCCCTGGGCTTAGTTGTTGTGCTCAGGGAAGGATACACCAAAGCAGCCACTTATTCTGTGCATGCTATTTACAAAATGCCTGCAAATCAAGATAAGCTGATTGCATAAGGAATTCTCTCTCCAGCATTATGTTTTGAGAAACACCGTAGGGTGTAATTACACAAGACATATGGAGATGTACCACAATGAACTGGGGACACTGAGTAATCCTGATAGTTGCAATCAGATAGTCCTGTGCATAGTGCAAATTTCACAAGGAACTCATCTACGAACAAGGTATAGTGGCTGGCATTACAGCAGTTATCTATCATTCTTTGCATGAAGATGTTTATCAAGATAAGGAAGCTTGTCCGATCCAAGAGGAACATAAGGGACAAGTTTGTGTGCTTAAAGGGTGTGAAGGATTCCCCAATGGAGCGTGTCGCGTCTCAGCATTGAAATATTTCAACATATAGGAAGTGTTCTGCTAGTTGTAGTTGAATAAACTTACAGCTGATAGTTATATGTTGCTAGCAGTAGACAACATGGATTTCTTTACTAAGATTCATTGTTTTGCTTGTCCTTGGAGTATGCCTCCTAGGTTTTGCGTTGTTACTCAGGCATCTCATGTCGTTTATTTTGGCTATATAAAATTTGTTATCAGTAACCAAATATGCGGAGAAACTCAATTTGACAAGTAATCCCCCAAACCCAAATGCCAATAACAAGGTAAAGTATGAAACATTAAATTGATTTTAAAAAAAAAAAAAAAAGAACAAGAAGAAAAGCGAGGATGAGATTTTTCAAATAACAAAGCAAAATATCAGAATAAAATAAAAAGGATCAAGATGGAGCCATGCAAATATAAGAATTACACGGCATTTCAGTAAAACTAAATACTGTAATTATCAGAGGGGTGGTGTCAAGAGCTCGGACTCTCACATCATGTTCATTAATTTCCTTTTCCCAGCAGCTGGCATTCCATTCATCAATCCCTTTGGCTCCATAGTATTCTTCCACTTCAAGTTCTGCATGCTCCTTTATAACCTTACATTGCTGCAATGCATTAAAAAATAATAAATTTTTATTTTATTTTATTTTTTCTACAAAAAGACTTCTCTTCAACGTAAACTGCAAACCAGGCAAAGGTATGTATGTGGTTATATATGTATAAATATATACATGTATGTATATGTGTGTGTGTGAGAGAGCTATTAACTAAAAAGACCATTATCCTCAGGGTGCGGGAAAACCACTTAAAACACACATACACACACATTAATTTTCCCAAGCAAAAACAAATATTTTAAGAATCTCAATAGAGAAAGTAAAAATTAAGTTGGGATAAATTAACTGAAAGAAAAATAAACCAGAAACAACCGCTTAAAATACACACACATAACTTTTCCCAAGCTAAAGACAAGTACTTTAAGAATCTCAATAGAACAAGTAAAAATTGAGTGGGATAAATTAATTGATATAAAATTAAACCAGAAGCAACTACTTAAAACATACACACATATATATTATATAAAAATTTCCCAAGCTAAAGAAGAGTGCTTTTAAGAATCCAAATAGAAAAAGTAAAAATTTAGTAGGGGAAGATTATTTGAGAGAAAAATCCACACCCAAAATCAAACTAAAAGAAATTAAAAAGAAAAGAAAGTGAAGTTACATTAAGTGAACTAAATAAATAGGAAAGAGAAATAAATGTACCTGTTGAACAAGATGAACAGTAGGAGCCAAAAAAACAATCAATTTCTTGAAAGCTTGGAGCTTTATAGATTTAGCAATCTCTTTGATCATCATAACAGCTATCATAGTCTTACCAGCCCCAGTTCCCAGCACAGCTATAGTGTTTCTCCTCAGTGCAATTTCATACACCTTAAGTTGATACCTAATTAAACAAGCAAGCCCATAAATCACACATACATATATACATACATACACTAAACATGCAAGCCCAGAAACCATACATTAATTGATGCCTAATTAAACATGCAAGCCCAGAAATCATACAAACATATAATTACATATATACATACAATATCAATTAAAGACATACATATATACATTGTATACCTTCTGGGTTGGAAATTTTTGGGATTGATCAGAGGAGTAGCATCCATGGGTTCAGGGTCGATGGAGTCCATGCACTCAAACTTCCTCTTCAAAGGGTTCTGCACTACTGCCTCCTCCGCCGCCGAATGCATGTTGAATATATATATATAATTGTGGATAAATAAATTTCTAGAGGATTGAAGAAGAGAGAAGCCCTAAAGAGAGAATAGTATGAGGGAATATGTGTGTGATTTTTGATTCTCTCTATAGGCCAAGGTCACAAAAGCATGAATGAATGTGTGTACTCTCTTTCTTCTTCTTTGCTCACACAGACTGTGAGTATGTGACACAGAACAAATTGCTAATAAATGTTAACAATTATGAAATTAATAACCCTTCTCGAGTAAAAAACAATGTAATTAATAACCCAGACTGTGATTCTTAGCATGACCATTGTAAAAAATTGAAAATTGGGGTATCAGAAAGAAAGGCTGGGTGTGAACAGTAAATAATGGTCACTAATTATATATGTATATGTGGTAAAATCTTCGGGGTACAGTTGATAGATTTTGGTGTTTTAGCGATGTGTCGCGCGTGTATAACACGGTCTTGTTGATTTCAGACACATACATGATACAACTGTGTGGTGTTACGGAACTTGAACTCCAACCGTGTGATTTCAAGTTCAGACTTCCGATGTCATGTTTTCAGTGGGTCCTACTTCTGCTCCTGACCTACTTGCTCCGTAACTCACAGTTCTTTCAGGAGTCGGGTTTTTTTTCTTTCCTTTTTTTATTTCTTTCCTGCAAATTGAATCCTGCTCTTCCTTTCTTTTATTTTTTTTATTAGATTATGATCTGCTCTCGTGTAGTAACTAAAAATTAGTGTAACATGATTGAAATATATATTTTATTTTGGATTTAAGTTATGTTATATCTTTGATTTATCTTTAATTTAATAGTTTATTTTTAATTAGTTATTTTATATTTTCGATTTAATTGCATTGCGTGTATAAAGCTTTGAAACTTTGTACAATATAAAATTGATGGAGTTTGGGGCTAAATTATATAATTTCGAATTAAATTAAAATATTTTTATAAAAAATAATTTTTTTAAAAAAAATATGTCCATACATTTATATCAAAGATGAAATTGTCGAATGAGACCCTCACAATCATTGTGTCTCACTCGAGTTTCAATTTTACTTGTATTTAAAACAATTTATATGTAAATATGTTTTTCTTAAGATACATTTTTTTTTAAAAACTACATCTACAACCAAAAAATATTTTTCTAAGAATAAATCAAGTGTGGTATGACCGACCATAAATTCTAACTGTGCACACAGAACCGAATCGGAATTGATGCTTCGATTTTGGTTTTGGTTCCAATTTTTAGGAATCGTTGGAAAAGGTTCTGGAACCGAAACCGTATAATAATTATAAATATTATATTTTTAATTATATAATTACTAATATATATATATATATATATATATATATATATATATATATTGATACATACAAAGAGATATATATAATAAAAATATGTTCTCATGCATAATATTATACATCAAAATATACTACGAATTGATTTAGAGTCATTAATTTAAATATAAAAAAATATACAGATTCGAAACCAAACCGATATCATGAAACTGGTTCCATGTCTTAACAATTCAATTCTTAGATATCATTGAGATCGATTCCTCCAAAAATCGAAACAGTGTACACCCCTAATAAGTTCGTTCTTTATAATAAAATAAACTATAACATAATAGATAATGCCAAAATTATGAGTTTGTTTTGTGACAATACCAAGGTGATGCATGGTTGGAATGCGTTTGTCCATTATAATTCGAACCGAAATTTCCTTGTAACAATAGTCACGTTTAAACTTACTAACGTGACCCTCTATTTTTAAATGTGGAGGAAAAATTATTATATAACTGTGTGGTGTTACGGAACTTGAACACCAACCGTGCGATTTCAAGTTCAGACTTCCGATGTCATGTTTTCGGTAGGTCCTACTCCTGTTCCTGAACTACTCGCACCGTGACTCACAGTCCTTTCAGGAGTTGGTTTTTTTTTTTTTTCCCTTTTTTTATTGAATCCTACTCTTCTTTTCTTTTATTTTTTTTAATTAGATTATGATCTTCTCTCGCGTAGTAACCAAAAATTAGTGTAACATGATTGAAATAATTATATTTTATTTTGGATTTAAGTTGTGTTATATCTTTGATTTATATTTTATATTTTCGATTTAATTGCATTGCATGTATAAAGCTTTAAAACTTTGTACAATATAAAATTGATGGAGTTTGGGGCTAAATTATATAATTTCAAATTAAATTAAAATATTTTTATAAAAAAAAAAAACAAAAAAATTGTTTAAAAAAGTATGCCCATATATTTACATCAAAGAAGAAGAAAAATTTGTGGAATGAGACGTAATAGTTATGAGGCTTACCCCGCACACGTGATGGCCCTCACAATCATGGGCGGAGCTTTTAATGAGCTAAGTCTAATTTTTGTGAAAAATTTAGTACTACTATGTTTTTCAATTCAATCTATATGTAATCAATTTTTAATACTATTATTTCTCTTCCTATCAGCCTAATTTATAGTACTGTTCTTCCTTTTCCTATTAGTACAATCCATGTGTGATATGTAATCAATTTTTACTGCTCTTTAGTCACTTCCTCTCAACACGTAGTGATACTTTTCCTCATAGGGTTTGGCCCGTTTAGGGGTCTAGCAAGGAAATTACATAGACTTGAGAAGAAGAATCTCTCTAAGATTGATTTTTAATTTTTATCCCCTGAAATTTTTGATTTGATATATAAGAACATCATCACTTTTCGGTCTATTTTTTAATATATATAATATATCGTTATTAAAAAAATTGTTGTGTTCATCTTCAAATTTTTTATTATCTTTAACCCCCTTACTTAGTAATTCTGGCTCTACCCTACTCACAATCATTGTGTCTCACTTGAATTTCAATTATATTCGTATTTAAAAAAAATTTATATGATTTATTTGATAATTAAATTACCATCTTTGATTTGGTAAGTTGATATCTATTTCACCATATTAAATTTGTTAATTACAAATAATATGTCAATGTATGGTATAGATCTTCACTATTGTTCTTAAAAAAAAAATTAACATCAATTTATGTTTTCATTAAAATAATTCACCAAATATTAGTTGAAGACCAGCCAATAATTATTTCTGGAATCTCAAAGTCGGAGTTCCCGGGGTTATTGTACCCTACCCGTGATAGTGAGAGCCGTTGGATTATAGATGTGGTGGTGGGCCCCACCACATCCAATGGTTGGGATGCCCTTGGTACCATACACCGGGTTATCTAATAATTTTTCCTCCTTTACGAGTAAAATACATCGCGCTGACGTCACCATGAATCCTATTTCAAATCCGGCGGAGTAACATTCAGAGAAAGTGAAAAAGTACATAATAGCCAATCACTCTGTACTGAAATGATTGACATGTCTACTATTTCCACGATAATCAATTACTATTCTAGAAGGCGCCTCAAGCGTGCAACCACAAGTTTGGGACCATCATTTCGTACTATTTCACAACAGTCAATACAGCTCTCTCTCACTCTCTCGCTCTCTCTCCCATCTGTATATATATAAATATCTGTTGTATATTTATAAGTATCTGTTGTATATTTTCCTCTCTACCTTTAAAATAAATTGTTTCTAAAAATTGAACAATGATATCACTAATGGTCTTAAGAAGTTTTCATAATTAATTAGTATTAGATTCCTTTCAATTTATTTGGAGTTCTTTTGAGAACATTATTTTAAAATATTATTACTATATTCTAGTTGGTTGAAAAAAAAAATTACAGCTTGAAGATAAATCCAAATGAGCTGTAAAGATGCGGAAGGCAGCAAGAGAATGTACAAGGAGATGTTGCCATCAATAAATTACCCTGTTTCGTCTTAGAAGAGGGGATTGCCTTACAGCACAGTGTACAGGACAATAATGCAATGAATTCAATGGTTTTGATTTTATTTTCTTATTAATACTTTAACTAAATTTCATTCCTTTCCAATTTCAAAGCACTGATTACGTTACTCTCAAAAAAAACAAACACGATATTATTGTTTTTCTGAACCTAACTTATTTAACTAAAGCTTTGTTGCATTATTTAAAATTGTGAAGTAAATTGAAGATAGAAATTCTGAAAAAAAGAAAAGAAAAAAGGAAGCAATTAGGATGAAAATGCCATGGCCTTTCATTTATTCTTTGCTCCACATTTATTTTGCTATTATCTTTTTTCATTTTATTCCCAGGGGTGTTAACTTTGATCTTCATCTTCCTGTTCTTCCATTCCTTTTTCATAATATAACCGTTTAATTGTGAAAAAAATGAAGGTATTTGAGATCATAAAATTAGAAATGAATTTAATCCTTAGAATCCAAATTTATTTCAGGCAACATTTGGAAAATGGTTCCACCAACTCATGCAACCTGCAACCCTAGAAATTTGAAGCACAACAAAGAGCATACAATTTTTAAGAATTATGACAAAAGAGAAAGAGCTTCAAAAAATGGTAAAAACGAAAGGAACAATAGGATTAGAAAGATATAAAAATTAAAAAATGAAACTAACAATATATTTACTTATTAAAAAAAGGCTTGTATGTAAATTTCTTGTCAATGAAAAAAAAAAAAAAAAAAAAAAAAAAAATTATTTACTTATAAAAAAAAATATGATTTACATGCAAAATTAGACACAAAAGAGGGTGAAAAAGTTATTTATAAATTAACAAAGGCTAGAGATAAGTTAACCAGAGACATTGATCAAATTAGACGAAGAAATAGATCAAATTTGGTTCAGGAGAATGATATATTAGGTAGATAGAAAATTTATTTTCAATACCTACTAAATGAGGTCTACCTTAGAGTTGAAGTGGAAACTACGAATTTAATGTAGGAATCGTAAATAAAATCAACTAAAAAGTCATGAATCAGGATGCTGTAGCTGGAAAGAACATGGTAAAAAAGAATTAAAGAAAAACAATGTTCACAAGTGTTTGTTTATAAAAAAATAAAAATAAAAAGACTTGTTCATCCATGGGTTGATGAGTGACCACTTAGTACATCCTTGTATTACTGATTCAGTTCCCTACCCAAAACTATGAGTCATGAAAAATGCATCTTGCAGGAGTTCCTCAGCATTTCAAAAAGCTTCCTTTATTTTACGCTAACATTTCCAAACCGTTCCTACCAATCCCATAAGCCATGACAGCTTGGAAATTCAATTTTCAGGTCCATACCAACACACTAAGTCGGGGTGAACTTTCCCAAGTTCAAAACATTTTCCTCCGCTTGGAGA